CGCACCGACGGATCCTTGGATATCTCATACGCGCAGGACAGCCCGGCGGAGCCGGCGCCGATGACCACCACGTCAGTGTCGGCGTAGGTGATCATGTCGGTCATGTAGCGGCGGGTCATCTCGCGGGAAACGACCGACTCCTTGATGGGCTCGAAGCGGAAGGAATCGAGGTCGTACCTGGGGGCGGCGGAGGCGGCGGTGACGGACAAGGAAGGTCTGCCGCGGCCGGGGAGGGAGCGGAGGGCGGTGGCCGGGAGGCGGAAGCCGCTGAAGGACGAGCGGTGGTGGTTGTCGGAGATGAGGGACTTGGGGTTGGAGAGGAGGGAGGAGGTGGCCACGGAGGCTGCCATTGCAGGAGGGTGGCGAAAGGTGTACGTTTGGAGTTGGGGGAGAGGCCGGAGGAGGAGGAGGAGGATGAGAGTGGATGGATGGGGTGTAAGCGAAGGGGGGGTATAAATAGCGGATATTCGGGAGTGAAAATATCTAAGTTAGCTTTTGGGTGTCATTTTCGTCTTTACGAAGGAAGGCGAAGATATTTTGATGGGGAGCGGGAAGAAGGCGCAGGTGGCCTTCTTTGGTGTGGTGAGACTACCGCCACTAAGTTAATGGAATAAAGTAAAATATTAATTTAATTTATTGTAATTACCGCATTTGAATGGGGTTGTGATCACATAAAGTCAAAATAATTCTGGTGGTGATCTCCTCTGCTATTATCGTCCGTCCTGAGAGGGCGTGGATGCACACCGAAGAAGAAGAAGAAAGAGCTCTTCAACATTCTATTCGATTTAAGGATTCCCTTTACTTGGAAACGTGGAATAATATTAATTGCCTCTTAATCGTCCATCTATCTTAAATAAATTAAATTACTAGTTGGGGAGTTGCTATCGTGATGGAATATAAATTGCACGCAGCGGAGAAGAAAATATCTGCTGATACAACAAGGCAGCAAGCAAATGTGGATGGTCCATTCTCCCTCCCTCCATCATCAACAAGTCAAGTGGGAGGCCGACGACGACGACGACGACGGCATATTCCCGTCGCTACTCCTTCCTCATCTTGTAGCCATGCACACACCCCGATACTATCTATCGGGCAATATGTCTTCTTCTACGCCCCCCACCCCAACGTATAATAAAATATTTAACTCTGTTTACAATCAATCATATCAGGGAATCAATAGCATCATAGTTATTATTTAAACAACTACGTTGAGAGGGCGACCGACCAAAGAGAGAAACGGTCCATTTTCTTTCTTCCTCATCTTAATCCTAAATCCGAAATGGATTTCCTCTATAAATAAATAATACGAAAAGAATTTTCTCTACTTCTCATAACTATGCTGTCCGTCAACAATCCCCCCACACAAGGCATTGTTCTGATGAGACACAACACAATTAAGCGATAAGAACATGCTCCGTAGACCATTTGGACTATGCCAGGCTGGAACAAGATGCAAAGCAAAGGTGCTAACCACACTGAACGACATCACTCCCAAGATATCTAAACAAGGTTACGGCAAAGATATTTAAACACACACTATGTCCTTTGTATAAATATATGTTTAAAGAGAGTATCCATCCGGCAATGGGCTCTCCTACAGCCACAGCAAAGTGTCTGGAACCATGCAACCAGAGGCAAGCTAGATGATATATGTCTTACTGCTAAATTACTTGAGCCCGATACGCAACTGCTTAGAAACCATGAATTTTAATGTGCTCCTTCTTCACAATTCCAGCCTGCACCGTAAAGACAGCATCGTCATTCACCACATATAATGGAACATAATTAACTCAGGTTCACCCCTAGATATCTATCGATCACGGCCAAGACTACACTAAGGAACCGTGGAAAAGGCTATTACCTGAACTAAGAAATTTGAAGCATTCTTTCGTTGATCACCTTGAAGTTGAATGACCTATAAAAACAACAAAAAGATAAATGCATTGGCCATCGAGGTTGCTAGCAATGAGTGCATATCTGATTAGACGATAAGCTTTCCGCCTTATGACACATCAAGCAAAGGCGGCAAAACAATAACCTGGCCCAGCTCTGGGTCCTGAACCACAGTACCATTACAGCAGAATTCCTTTTTCAGATCCTTCAAGATCTTGTTATAGCTAAACTCTTTCTTGAGTCCTTGCACTGTGGTCAGACTCTTCCTGCCATTCCGCTGCTGTATGCGGATATGCACATAATCCTTTGTGCCGGCACCAGAGTCATCAGCATTTGCATCAGCAAAAGGATCTACAGAAAAAGAAAGGGAATAACCAAGATGACACATTGCAAGACGGATCCATTCATTTACACATGCAGTTATGGTGTAGAAAAACTTCCAGACACATAACCGAGGATAGTTGTGCAAATTGTCAATAACACAACTTCCTGAACATACCAAAAGCAGATGGGATCTGTGCTTCTAGATCAGACATGAACACTGCAACTGTTGAAGGGAACGTCGAAACAAAAGCTAACTTGCTTCGAGAGCCACGACCAGATCTGAAAACCACGCAAATACGGATACTGTCAACATTCAGTCCAAATTTGATACAATAATGCAATACTGCATTTCCTTAGAAAAAGACTGTTCGGTCAGCTATCGGTACAAAGGCACATTGGTACAAGTGAGAACAAGCTGTAAAACACTATGGATACTTCGCTACAAACAACACCACTTCATATATCGGCCAAAAGAGGACATCAACTACAAGTCTAATTGCTTTGATTTTGTGGTCATGGCAATAAGCCATGTGCATCTTGATATAGAACACATCAACAAGTCAATATACAAGTCAATCAACGGCAGCGATAAAATTAGTGCAAATTCCTCAAGGGAAGTTCTTAAGAGTGACGCTTTGCATATAGTTCTGGTGTGTGCACAATCAAGAAACGATCGACAGCATACAATTAAGAAGAGACTTTGCAATTGCCTCACTCAATCTTGGTTGAATTTTCAAGAACTTCAGAAGCAAGTTAAAAGGGAGAATTTTTTTTGAAGCTCGAAGTGATGCAAAATAGTGCCCAGAAATAACAAAAAGGGAGGCATAAGAAAAATATTCTTCATAGTTCTGCAATCCACATTTCATCCGCATTGACGATACCAGATCTAAAGTGCCACAGACGGCAGGGCAAGTATTCTCCTCTTTCTTGTTACTGTTTTAGAACCAAGTAACAACTATAGCTTTGTCCTCAAGTCAACCCTCGGATACTCTAAATCGTGAAGCATTCCTAAATCTAAACATTCGGCGTCCCCATTCAAGTCCAAACATGATCTAAAGAAGTAAACAAAGCAGGCTATTTCGCGTCAACGCGAGCTCTTTCTCTTTGTCCTTGGATCTTTCTACGCCCGTCATAATCCACATGGGAAAAGAATTACTTGGGACAATCCGCCAGTTTTCCCAGAACAATCTAAATTCCCGAGCAATATATTTCCACCTATCAGGCAGCAGATTCAAGAAAGGAAATACCAGAACAAATCAACAAAAGAGAAGTAAAACCACCAAACGAAAGCCACGAATTCATGCCCCCATATCACCGATCAAACGCACGAAAGAGGAGAATTTTTGTGTTGACCCAGAAAAGAAAGAAGAAAGAACAGACCTTTTTCGTGTTCTTACCTTGCAGCAGCGGACTGGAATACGACTCTCGCGGAGATCACACGCAAAAGCAGAACAAAAGAGTGTTGAAACCACTCCCCTTTATTATATATCGAAAGAGTAGCCGAAGTCGACGGTACAATATAAAGATGAGAAGGGGGGTGGGGGTGGGGGAGCCGCCGCCTCCTCGTCGACGACCGTATGTTTTCGACGCCACGGTGGCCTCGGCATCAACGACTTCACGAAACATAAAGCAAAATGGACGATGCTGGTGTAACGCAACGCCATGGCACAAGAATCGCGTGAGCAAATACTTGAGATCTGGTGGTGTGCGACCGTGGTCTTATCGCGATACGGACGGCTGCGATCGTTCTTTGGTCCCACGGGGTTCGCGCTTACGTGGCGCGGATCTATGTTCTCTCTCTCTCTCTCTCTCTCTCTGTCTGTATTATTATTATTATTATTATTATTATTATTATTATTATTATTTCTCCCCTTTTTTTAGGGTTTTACGGAATCAGAGGCACACGGTCGAGCGTGAGGTTGGCGCAGCGATCGCACAGCAACACTAATAGATCCATCCTTTGAGCCAAGTGTGGTGGGATTGAGCTCAACCCCCGCTAAACCGAACCATTATAATAGTGCAATTGTAATTGAGGAGCACAGCCACATCGATCTCAATAAAAATATTTAAAAAAAATGAAAGAAAATTCTATTACTAAAATATGACACATGCATTCGAACTTTGAACATATCACTTTGTGCAATAATAATGCACTCGAATGGCTCAACAAAGAAATTTTATATATTGGATGCTATAAAAGAACGTTTGTGGTTATAAAAGTGTACTACTGATATTTAGAAGCTCAATTTCTAATAATGTCAAATTAAGCAAAGGGGGCAGTATGATGAATTGTATCTTTGGATATGCTGCTAATTGCAAATTGCCAATTTAATTTGGAGACTCAAAAGCAAATGACGTGCCTGATAACTGTGCAAAGCCGACTCCATGGATTTCTATATGCTGATGAGAAGCTGACAAGAGAAATCCCAGGTTCTTGATACATGTCCACAAACCCACAATTGATGGAAGAAAGAATCAAAATCCTGTATCTCTACCAGGTTCTGATTAACATCCTTCAAGGATTTGTGGTTTATGATCTCTTTCAGAAAGCAAGTTTCCGACTTTTGCTTGTAGAAAGTTTGCAACAAACAACAGATCATTAACGATCAGCAACATGATCGTGGAAAGACAAAAAAACAAAGTTTCCAACCACACAATATAAAGAAAATCTCCCCAATACAACAACAACAACTACTCTTAACAACGAAGATGATATATATATATATATGTAGAAATGCAGCCATGAATCACTTATTTATAATTATTTATAGACTTTGTAACAATGAACCAATCCTCAATCATTTCCTGGTTTTGAAGCAATAACAGCTGAGAAATAATACAGTTGCAATGGTTTGCTTCAATGAAGAGCACATGAGGCATGAATAGGATTTACATGTAGTAGTAGTAGTCTTACAACATACTGGAGGAGAACCTGCTCATAGAAAAACAATGAGCTAGGGCTTTAGAGAATTTGACAAGTAGTGAAAGTATCTCCCTTTGCAGATCCTTCAACAAGTAAACGCTGTATTATTCCGCCACCAGGAATCAACTCACTCCATGGAACATTATATACATCAGAAGCTATTATTTCTTGGCCTGCATTTGTGAAAATTTACTTAATTATGATAACCTTGCACTAGACCTCAATCTTATACACATCAACTCATAAAAGCAACACTAGAACTTCATGGAGGCCACTACTTGAAGTTGTACTTCCAAGCTAACAAGTAAAAAGAAAATTGCAGAACTATTTGCAATCTAACTCGATAACAAATCAAAGATAGCAAAAGTATTATTGCCATGGAAATATCAACCAAAGAAATGAAGGATCTCATCAAAACCCAAGTTTTCAGGAGAGGAGTCTGGCAAGGCATCACAATGGGGAATTTTATAGGCTGGTACTTCAGGCTTGATACACCCATGTGTAAATTAATTCTTAAAGCATTCTCAGTTTAAAACTCATAATAATAGCTAAATGTATCAAAGAGGAGTAATTGTACTTCAAAAATGATGAGGTATCAAAAAAATCTAGAAAATTTTGAAATGAATGTCATTGTTTAGTTTGCTTATATTGGCCTCTCCAACAAGCTGATATCCAGAAATATTTCAAGTTATTGCATATCACCTATAAGAATATTCTAGATTCCAAGTAAATGGCAGAAATACCCTAGTGGTTGTAAGATTAGGACTCATAAAGGTAAATCATAGAAAAGGAAGAAGGATTTCAAAAGAGTGCTAGGTGTGGGGTCGAAAGCAAAGATTCCTGAATAACAACAAATGACCATACAAGACTAACATTTGCAAGAAACCTTTCGTATCATTTCAGGATCAGTCATTTTGGGATCAGCACCTCAAACATAATCAAATCCTGACCCAGGATGGTTCCGTTAAGAGCTCATGTAGGTCCACATGACAATATGCCTTTGATGGGAACATATATAATCAACACATATTTACATAAATGAGAGGAGGTATATCATTATCATTATTATTATTATTAGTTGAAGTAGAAAAACTGATACTTTAGATAATCTTAGTGAGTCTTTTATGTGTTCATTAACCAGAATGTGGCAGCACAAAGATGTTGCCTTTAGCTTGGTTGGACTTATTTTTCTACTTTGGGCATAATTTGCAAAGATACATAATGCACAAGTTTGTCCAAAGTACTCAGATAAAACAAGAAATATCCAATACAAAGATAAAAAAAATTTCTTAAAAAGGTTAAAAAATATTTTATTATGGAAAAATCTATTCATCATTATTAACCGGAAATAAAACAAAACAAACACCTAACAAGTATAGAACATTACAGGATAAATATTATAGAGAACGATGATGTTGAAAAGCATCAATCCTATAAAAATAATCAGTGGAGGCTGCCAAATTATCAGATGAAATCATGCTGGATGTAGCGAATATTAGCTATTGTGAACCATACTGAATAACATCAAAAGAATATCATCATAAGTAGTAATTCTATCTTCCCCCCAAAAAATTGCTGATAGTGTTATCTTTATATTTTTACAATTACCAGTCATCTAAAGTATTAACCCGCTTAATTTTTCACTCTTAGGTTCTAGACCAGCATTTGATTGTTATTGCCAGGTCTAGCGTATATTACATGAGAAATCAATATAAGGTGGAACATGCTTCTTGGGAATATTCCGCAATCTACTATCACTATTAAACAAAAAAATGAACAAATAAATTTAAGAAGACCAAATAAACACAATATAATCTTTTTGAAAGAGATGCGTACCATTTTCAAATATTTCTTGTGAAGCCTAATTGCATGACTGCACGTTTTTTTTGCATCTAAATCTCCATTTGTCTCGTTTAAAATCTGATCAAACAAACATCATTTAGAGAGTGCTAAATGTAAACTGATGTGACAAACTTTTCTCTCCTAACAATTGAATGGGCTTGCAACACCTAAAATGTATGGAGCACCTTAATGAACAAGACATAGTACTTAATTTGATCTAGTTGTTAGTTACTATATCAATCCCTCATTCATATCCCATTTTTTATGTTCATAGGAGTTGTTATGGATTTTCCAATTTACAGTATTTTGTCTTCTATCTTCCACATTTCCATCTCTTCATCTAATTTGGTATTCAACTCAAAGTTATGCACCATATTCAAGATCACTAGTTATTGATCAATTTACTTAGTTATGGATTTAGTTTCATAACATTCCGTGTCCTCGATTTACACTTGCAGATATTCGCATTGCAATTTTCTGTAATTTTGGAAGTATATGGCAACCACTAAAGAGAAACCTATGTACTAAGTATACACATACTAAAATAGCTTCACCCATGTATATATCTGTTGTTATCAAAGAATGGGTGGTTGCAATGTCTAACTAAATTTAGTTAAATATAAGTTCATTAATGAATGTGAATACTGAAACTGTTTGGATAATTGGGAAAAGATAGCCTATTTGAAATATTTAAAAGCATATCTTTTTGCAGACTGCAGATTAGACAAAAAGGTTGTGATTTACTTTTGAAACTAGGGAAGAATTGCATGGTTTTGCTATCCAGATAAATAATTTGGATAACGCTTAGATGTGATCATTAATTCTAAACAACTAACGGATATAAAGAGAAATAGGTAATTCCTTACCTTAACGACATCATCCAAACCACGTGCTTCCTGAATTAGCCTTGCACTTTTTTCTTTGAGAACACTGGCAACAAGAAAAACTGTGATTGGCAAAGGGGCTTCAGAAGTTTTAGTTCCGTTCTTGAGATTCTCCCTTTCAAATTTCCCAAATTGGCGTATTGACTTAACTTTCCCTTTAGACACATCATTCTTTTCAGTGAGAAGCTCTGGCTCTTCATACATGGCGAACATATCAGGGTAATATTCTAGAGCCCACATCATCTGTATAAAAATTTACATATAAGTTATGAGACTGCACAACACATAGATACCATAAAACATGTAACAAATGTGTGATACCCCAACAGTCCTACATGGGAAAAAGAGAATAACAAGAAAGTAAACATATCTCCTTGATGACTATTCCTAATAACTTGAGCATATGCTTTAAACTATGTGGCAAATATGTTCCATGCAAGTTACCAGATTAGTAGTTTATCTAGATAGCAATAATGTGCGGCTTGGTGGAACAGTGAGGTTATTCCTCTATGACTTAATCAATTAAATTTGACTTATCTAATAACTTCTTCATTTATAAGAGTAATGCTAAACTCTCCCCAAACTCCATCCCTCTATATGCATAGGGGTAAGACTGTACATTAATCTTCACCAAACCCCACAATCGGTGGGTGTCTCATGCACTAGGCTGTCATTTCTTTAAGTCAGGAACCTTGTGCATTGGGCCACCTTTTTCTTAAGTTTATTGATAGTCACAACATTGTATCACAGTAATTATATAGTATTCTCTGTGCAACGTAATGTTCTATGGTTAATTGATGTCAAAGGTATTAATGAAGGCAATATAACTACTGAGGTATGAACAACAAGGGTGATGGAAGACTATCACAAGGAACTTTATATATAAACTTGAGAAGCTACTATTAGTAACTTTGATCTGAAAATTTCAGACTTGTTGAGTAGATCATCCCATTAAAATTTATTGGTTTAGGATAATTCATTCTTTGTAATATGTTTGTTCACATAAAACAATCATGTAGCATAAGGAAAGCATCTCAATGGAAGTTACAAAATGGTGAAAAATCAGTGTTCATCGGTCAACAAAATTTTATAAATAAATAACTGTGTAACTGCTCCAAATATAGGTACCTCTTAACTATGCAATAGTTGCTTAACATGGGAATACAATTGGATAAGAACTAAAATGAAGTAGAATCTAGCAGAGAGATTGACTTTTGCTTCTAGATAAAAGACAAAGATGCTCCATGTACACACAGATGTGTTTTAATCGAATGAGCTTGACTTGTACCATTTATGAAACACAAGGAGTATAAAAAGCATTTTGGCAACAATGATTGGAATTATGAACCATATAGGCCCACATGAGAATACTGTTCATTGATGTTTATTTATAATGTTCAGTACCTCCCAAAGATACAAAGAATCTCCAAAGGATAATTCTCGGCGGAACAATACCATAAACATGCGAACCGCAAAGAGGTAATCACCTCCACCAAGTGTTTCTGTTCAGAAAATACACGGAAACAGCATTAGCACCTCTATTGATGAGGAAAGAGTAGTGATAGTGAGACAATTAAAACACTATATCTATAGGATCAACCATACAATTGACAAAAATCATCCTTAGAGACGAAAAAGAAAAAGAAATGTACACTCCAATGATGTCATTTTAGTGTCAACTGTTTATAAATTAAACAAACACCGCCTTTGGTTTAATATTTCACATTAACATTTCAAATTTTCTGGACAATTGTTTATCAAACACTTCCTCATTGATATTGTCGAACATACAACATATGAAAAAACATTTACTGCTTATGATGATAAGATACTTAGATGAGAGAATCTATAAAAGAAATGGCAAATATATACTTTTATATTTGTATCTTTGAGACACATGATATATTCTGAATGTAACTGTGCACTAGTTTATCTCATGTCATATACCTAGGTGTTGATGAAGCTTTGGGTCCAGAACTTGTGTTATTGATGCTAGACTTTGTAGTTGATTCTCCACACCAACAGATCTCTCAGTGCATCTGAAATTTCCTCGCTTTAAAATTTCACATGACAAAGTGATTAAAAGACAAGTTAACAATATTATCAAAGAAAACTCCTATCAGAAGCATTTTAATTTAGTACAAAAGTAGTTTAGTTCTAGAATATTTCAACTCAAATATGCAGCAGATCCTTTTATGTGGTAATGACCATAAGCTAGATACATCTAGAAGAAAATAAATGAAGGCAGAGAGTTACACACCACTAAAAAGATAACATAGTCTAGGACCTTCAAAACCATAAAATGGCGAGAAAAGGATTTACTGTATAAAAAATCTGACAATCTATGAATTTATTTGTGATCAATTGTTGGAGTGGTTACTTGCTTTCTAAAGCCTAAAGTGCAGTGTTATCAAACATAAACACCTAATGTTAAACCTTTTCCAAGTCAAATATTATATCTAAAAAGGATCACTATGTTATCATCTGATGAGTTCCAAGTGCACCAACTGGCATATATTTATAGTGTGGACATCCTGTTGATCGCAGAATGAATCATTTTATTTGAACTCAACATCACAACATTGAAGAAAGTTAGCATGACAAATGCTTTAGATCCTTTTAAATTTCTTGGAATGGATATTGCAATTTGTACCAATTTATGGCAATTGTACCATCATATTATCTTGAGGCTTTACCTTTTCCTTGCGATATTCATAAATAATTGCTAGTTATGGTGGAAGATAGTCCATGTGACATTTTCAATAGATCCACTTGGAAGTAACAGACACTTGTGCTGGTCTATAGAGTTAGATGGCTCTACTACTGGCTTAACCGTTCTTTAGTCACCTGGTTGTAGGCCTACAAGTCATTCAGTTAATAGGCCTAGAGGCCAGACAGAGTTCAATTATGCTTTTATTTAATTGTCGTCAACAATAAAGATACTGAAGATGAAAAGTGAACAAAAATTCTTTAAGAGATACGATTCCTTCTTAACATTCAGTATATATAGTACTTTGTTTTGTTTGGAAGCTGGAGTTCTAACTTGTTGGTCAACTTGCAAATAACACGAACCTTCAGTACAAGAACATGGGTGTAAAATTCTAATGACAGCCATGCTGAAGAACCATTGTGAACTTTAGAAAGAGAAATCTGCCAAGATCAGTATGCCTTACAGTACAATAAAGGTACTAATGTGCAAAAATTAGAAGCTTAGGAATTGCAAATAAGCCACTTAGATCACTAAACTCTAAAAAGTAAAACGAGGCAGATTTGTAAATATATCTATAGAAATTGATTCATCATATCACTAGTACATTTGCAATGTGTTAAAAAGTTATTGGGACTTTCAGACATCTAGATTTGTTGCAAAAAACCTGAAGAATAAATTGCTTCTATGGCATGAAAGCATGCTTAGAACCATATAATAAAAAGTCAACTGGAAGAATTCTATATAAGCATCTGATAGAGGAAGGACATGGAAAAGTCCTGGAACAGATGGAGTGTAAAGACAGAAAACCACATGCAAAAAATCCATTAATGCTTAAAGACACAGAGTTTTAAACTTGAGGAATTAGAAAAGAATCATGATAGACACAAGAACTTGTGTGTTTACAAGTCACAACCTAAGACGAGTCATTATACTTAACATGTATCATATACAAAGAAAAAACAATGGTGTTTCAGAAACAGCACCTATTCCCAGTAAATGTATTTCAATCTAGATATCTGTTCATCTAACTTCCAATCTTGCACTTGAGCATATTTTACAAAGAGAGACAACAGGATCTAGATACTATAATATATCCTTCAAGGCCAGTGCAATAATACTTGGGAGATACATGCGTTCACCAACAATGCTCCAAAAAACTGAAGCATTATTCAAAAACTGATAAATTAAAAGCAAGGTGGCAACAAAAATTATACCAGTTTGCGCATCAAACGTTCAAAGCACCAAAATGCATCTGCTTCATCTTCAAGAAGAATTATCAGTGGGGAGCAAAGATCACTCATTCCTGATATTAAGTTTGCAAGTTACGTTGGCGGATGTGCACAGTATTAAAAAATTATGTTGTTAAATCTTAAATGTGTTATCACCTTGACAATAGCCAACGTCTTTGTCAATCCAGGCATAAACAGCTAGGATATCCCAGAGCTTTGAAAGATTTTCTTTCTTCTCATAGAAGACCAGAGTTCTGTCTGTCCGAAGCACATCAAGACCTGTAACAAGTAGAAATTTATGGCCATCATGTTGGTTTATGATTAAAAGGTCAATTAAACAGAAGTTTTTATAGTTTCATTGATGAAATGGTTCTAGAATAAATTTCTTAAATAATATGTAGAACATCTTATCAGAGGTTTGGTTAAATTCTATAGGCCCTTCTTTTTTGTTTGTTCTGTTTTTTTTGGGGGGGGGGTTTGGTGGGGGGCGGCAGAAAGATCAATTGATCAATAGATAATGTCTAGAGAAGGAAGCACACCTGGATTTCTATCAACATTGTTTCAAGATGAGATTATAACATACCAGTGCAATAGCCAGCGGTGAGGTGTACAGTAAACCAACATCGTAAAAGGTGTAACAGGCCCAAGAAAGGAAGATACGATGGCACCAATTTTGTGTAAAGAATTATATAGCATGATATAAAACATGACATAAAATCTAAAATACAAAACAGTGGCAAACCAAATATAGGTGCATACCAATTTGGTGTAGTGTGAGCTTCCATTCGATCACTTGCTTATCCAGGTAAGGCTCTGCTTCAGAACCACCATTAGCTTGTCCTTTGGATTGATCCGGATTGGCTTCCAGGAGGACTAAAGGGTCTTGAATAGGTTGACCATCCTCGGTTATTACTGGAGCTGTAATGATTCTTCCACTGCCAACATGAGAATCCAACGCCTGACACAAATCCTTCCATCTTGCATATTGCACCCTGCATGACGAATGAAATATATTAAGCCAAACTAAATTTAAATTGGAATTTAGTGCAATGAACACCAACATGTCAGCATGGAGTTGGCATTCAACCAATGGAATGTACTAGCCATTTATCAGAATGCAGGCAAGCTGCAGCTATTATGTTCTTGCTTCTGGTTACTGATTTTTAAGCATTTCTTTAGCCACATAACAAAAAGTTTCTGTACTACAATTTACAAGTGTTATGTCCTTACAAAAAGAAAAGCCAGAAAGTTCACCATGAAAAACTTTCACAGGGTCCAAAACAGAAACAAGACTTGTTTAAGAATTTTGGACAAACCATCAAATCACAAAATCAAGGTTGATGCCCTTACCCCATTGGACTAGGCTGCTGCCATTTCAAGCATGAAAAAGTGTCATTTTTAAGATGAGCAACAATTGAAATAATTAAGATGAGCATTTTAATCCTTAGTAGTGCTCAAGCCAAGGAGAAGCCTGAACACGAGCGGAAACCATACAATATTACAAACATATGGTGGACATATATCATTTTTTGGCACCACTTGCTATTCGAAATGTTTCAATGTCTACAAACATCAAGACGATAAATTGTTCCACTAATCAATGAGAAAGACGATAAATGGTTCCACTAATCAATGAGGTATGAGTAAAGTAAGTGACCACTTAAAAATGCTTGCAATGTACATAATTGATTGTCAGGTGCTAGAATAATGATCTGATGACATAATTTATCCAGAATAATGCCAATTTTGTAATATTAGTTCAAACAGTGCAGAGGTGAAGTCTATATAGTCAATGAAACCAAGAAATGGCAGTTCATAGTCTATTGATGTTATTCTATGCTTAACAAGATAAGTTGAGGCATAAACCATTGTCTGTAAAACAAATTGCAATAAGAAATAATAAATAAGCCTTAGTAGATATTTATGGGAAAAATGGACGTCCAAATATTAAAAAGAATGCTAGCTCAACTAAAGAACCTGTAAAATATGTGTAATATGCCACATGTATAATAAAACAGATTGTCCCTATCTTCTGTTACTAATTAGTTATAGTTAAGTACTGGTACTACCTCCGATGTTCTCTCTGCTGCTCTCGCTCCTCAAAGGTGCTTTTAGGATCAAAGCACCCAAGTAAAAACTCCCAGACCTCTCCACGTATTGAAGGATGAACACCCTAATTCAGGAAGATTTTTAAACAGAGGTATTAAAATTCAGCAATACCAATGATACTAAAGTATTTGTATCACAAAATATCATCAATTTTAGTTAGAGTGATCATGCAAATTGATCCCAGATATCAACAAAACAGATAAGTACAAGTCAAAGACAAAACCATATTATCCAACTAAATTAACTTCATGATTTGATTGCACCATTTTTTTATTAGAGGACGTCTTCATGTTGAAGTGTAAATAATGGCAAGATAAATATTATCAATGCAAGGTCAAGTTGATCATGAAGACCAGGGCAGACATACTGGCTTCTATTTCGGGTGACTTAGCCAAATATCAAGCTGGTTTTAAACTGGTTGTGTATTGCAGTTTGGCTTTTGGGAGTCAGTAGACTGGTTGGTGCATGCTAGCAACACGGTCTTCGGTAACAGAAGAGAGGCAAGTGATTTATCTTATTATACCAATTAAAAGATCAATAAGAAAAAATGAAATTATATAACCCTGTAAGCTGGAAGCATTAACGTAGACTACAAATAAACTTTTCAAAATTCAAAGCCATTCAAACCATTAGCATATCTGTCATGTGGGGTTAGTTCGATTTAGGAAATGTTGAAGGAACACAATAATAAGATGGGCCTCTTAGTAGTTCTAAGGATACAATAATATCCTCTTCTTCTCACCTTTCTCCTCTCTTTTCCTCACTGTTTGTGCCACCTGTATTTTCAGAATAGTGGTATGTTAATCATACATGACAGTTGTTGCTCAGGTGCCTGATGCAACCATCCTAACCAGCTGAAAAATTGTACTGTTAACGTAACATGTCTCCTAGATAATCTCTTTGCGTGCCATCCCCTCCCAATCCTCATAAATTTACTGTGCATCAACTTCAAGGCTATCTCAAACGTATCAAAGGTGTTATCTCAAAGGAATAACACTTGTACTTATCATTCAAAAGATAGGTACTATGTGATCGTAGATGACAATATATATATTTTTTTTTGGAAGAATCATTTACTTGATTAAAAGAGCAGGTTGCTCAGTCATTTCTCTCATAAAGTAAGATCCTATAATCACTTGCAGACCTCAGAATATGCAAATTTTCAATAATATGCTTTTGTTATCAGCATCAGAAAGGCTATGGCTATGACACTAGTAAACCACTGCAAAAACAAAATATATATTGATATTGCAGAAATCATATTCTTTATAAATCTTGAATAACTTTGAGATTGCATCCTGTACCATATCTAAGTTACCGAAGACATCCAATATTGCTCTCAGATGGTTATCAATACTAGACACCAAACAGTATCATTCTCCAGAAGGCATACTCTACCATTACCAGCTGAGTAATAAAATCAAAAGTGCCCGCATCTAATGTGCTGAAGTTTCACTTAACAACATAACGTGGGATGAATGATCCTTAAAGTATAGCGGGTTACAAGAGCATGTACTGTGATGGCATGGCAAAACGGTCATGAAGAAGGCATCAATGCTTGAAATAAGAAAGAAGAAGATAATTTTTCTTATTCCTTATGCTTCACACTAACACTGGAGCACCATAGTATGAATGTATATATACAGGCAAAAGAAGTTGTTAAATGTTAGAGTACCCCTCGCTGTATCCGACTGAGAACTGAAGCAATGTCCAAGTGACCATCCGGACTAAATGCAGCATGCCATCTTCGTGCGCTCAGAGTCTTTCCAGCCTACATGAACAAATCAAAACAAACTTTTCTTGAGGGAAATATGTGTAACATTTGTTTGCAGACTCCATGAACAGATGAGAACAAACTTTCTGGGAGGAAAATATGTGGGACACTTTTGACATGGAGAGTTAGGATAATCCTAATGAAACTCGAATGGCTATTCATGATAACAAGCTGCATTTTATTTGAAAAACAAAGCCCATGCGAAATCATTTCTCAGACAACTGCATTCTGCTGCCGATATGATTCGCACATTACCTTCCCGCCAGACTAAGATGACTTATTAAAAGGAGACACGCTTCGAGAGCCCTGCCCTCCTGGTTTGCGAAGAGAAAATTAGAAAGAAGGCCAAAATGATTTCCCTTACCAAGTTCTGAGAACACCAGAACTTTTTTTGTGTCTTCGACATGGCTTAGTATATAAAATTTTCATGATGGAGTGAAGTTAAGTATTTACTAGGCCAAAGTAAAATCTCCAGACTGTGTTTCACACATATTTCATCAACGCCTACGGACGCGGATGAACCGACTGTCCAAATGTCTTTCTTTAATTACAAAGACATGGAGCACTTAAGCATGCAGACGTGCGTTGCTAAATATAATTGCCCTCTGGAGACGCCAAAACATCGTGATTCCGTTGGGGACAGGCGACCCCAGAAAAGATAGACGAAGAGGATCTGAGCAAGAATTAAAATCAAAGAGACCCAAAGGAAAGAAGGGCCAAAACTGACCTTAATCTTGAACTTGCTCTTGGGTCCCTCGGCGGACTCGGACCGAGCCTCGTAGAAAGAATCCGCCGGAACGCCGCTATCTTTCCACATCATCATCTTTCCCCAACGAATTCAAACACCGAATCCCCCAAAAGACCTACAAATCCTTGGGTAAGAACCGGTGACCCCCGCCCACCACACTCGAGCTGAACCCCCTCGATCCCCCCACCCGATCAAACTCTACTCACCGCAGGGACGAATGGACCCAGGTCGAGCGGTGGGAAGAAAGAAAGAGATTGATACGGAGAGGGCAACACCTCCCTGGCCTTTGGAGGGAGGGTGGGGGCGGGGCGGGGCGGGGGCAGTCAGACTCGTAGATGGCTCGGCGAAGAGACTGGGGCTAATTTAAGTGATTAAGAAGCTAAATATAAGGATTTGGAAGGGATTAAGACAGAGAGAGAGAGAGGGAGGCCGGCAGGACCGAGCAGTTCCCACGCCGCCCGACTCGGTCCCTGGTGTCGTCCCCGGCTTGCCGAGTCTTGCTCCCTTTATAGCATTACTATTATTATTATTATTATTATTATTATTTCTCTCTACGTGGGCGTGTTGGAGCTTTGGATGATGCATGATGCGATCGATGGTCTCCATCGAATGGTGGTGGAATTGGACGCTTCGGATGATGACACGTCGTGCCCGCTGACAAATAGAGGTCGAGTAGATATACGATAGTTTGTAGGAATGTATTGGAATATGGAGACAAAATAATAATTAGCAAAAGGATAGACCCAATTATGGATGTCAAAGAGGAAATTTCAATACAAATTACAGAGGAGGATCGAGTTTCACATGGTAATTAAATTAAACAAGTAAGCGAATTTATATGGGAACATACGCTGAATGCTTGAAGTTATACGAGCATCCTCCTACCAAGTTTGTTGTTGTTGTTGTTGTTGTTGTTGTTGTATGGACAAACCGATCCTTTGGTCGATGTGTCCGAATTAAATTCCCCTCAAATATGGGAACAGAAGAAGGAAGAGAGAAGGGAATACAGTAATGGTCAAGAGGGACACGACGACGTGGCAATCGCATGCTATCGGTGATTAATGAGGAAAGAGTGGATCGATGAGCGAAGGCGAGCGAGGCAAGTGAAGAACAACAACACACCATGAGATTTAGCTTCTTCAGCTGATGATTTTTTTTCTTTTTTTCTTTTTTTTTTGCGGCATTTTCTCTGAGGATGGTATCATTCAAGATTGCACATTTTGTAGGAGTGGTTGTACCATAAACATGCACAGACCAGGCATTGTGCCAGTGTTGCATGTGATGTGTGCCTCATGCAGTAAATGCTATGGGGGATCCGACACCGTCTCTCTCTCTCTCTCTCTCTCTCTCTCTTTTTGTTTTGGGAGAATTCCTTTTCTGGATCTTCATTCAACTGAAACTGGATTCGATTATTTTCTTTCCCCTGTAGTACCAACGTCCATCGCTCAGGAATTTTGTAATGTCATCATCTCTCGAGTCTCCGACGTTTGATAAATGGAATTTAGATATTTAGAATATTTTGCCTGCCTCCTCCATCCAACTTCTTTCATCATCTTACTATTGATTGCATCATGCAAATTATATGTCTTTTGATAACTTATTTAATAAATAAATAATAATGTTTTCAGCATATCTTTGTATTCATTGGACTTGCAACAAGGCTTTGATGATATATTCTCCTAAGGTACCGAGTTTAATTTTATATTACATATATATATTTTTTATGGGATTTTGTGATCTTGGCCGGTCCATTTCATTTATGGCTTGACCAGTGTCGACAAGCTTCTCTTCTTCCACTCGAACAGCAGCAGCAGCAGCAGCAGCAACAGCAGCAGCGAGTAGGCTATCAATAAATGCAATTGCACCCGCTATACCTTCCGCAATAACTCCTCCGCCCACCGCTCCCTTTTTCCTCCCCTTCCTCCTTCCTCCTTCCTCCTCGCGGCAGTCTCCCTCCTCTTAAGATTCCAGTTTCCGTTTCCAAACAATACTGCACGAGTCAAGAAATGAGAGATAGAGAGATTTAGGAGCGCTCTCCCCTCTCCTCAGAAACACTTGGAAGCCGCCACCGATGCATTCTTAAACGGATGGCAGTTTTGTCTCGCGACTTCTCCCTGCAGCATCCAAGCTAGGTTTCGATCGGAACAAATATGCTGAGAAAGAATAATGATCCCGGCAACCAGATGGAATCATCACCGGTTTCTAGGAGAGGGTATGAGGGTGCCTTCCCAGCTTTGGCACTTGGTCAGGTCTGTAAGCTACACTAGATACTCAAAGATAAGCCGTTATATTTTTCTCTATCTTTCTTTGGACTTTAGTGCAACGATGCCATGAGGGTACATGTTCTGAGAGAAGGTGGCATCGAGTGAGAACAAAGTCGTGGGTGCATGCACCCGCTTCGCAAAGCTACCTGCCCCTCTGATTCGCCCTCTCCATCGCATTGCAGCTTGTTATCTTTGAGGGTTGATCTTTGCAGCCTATATAGCAGCCAGCAATGGCGGCCGTAGCGAGTGGCTACTGGTTGGTTATGAGGGGTTTGAGAGAGTTTCGCTAGCTAGAGGCTGTGGAGTTTAGGGAAATGGAACAAGGTTGAGCTCTTACATTTTCTTTTCGCTCTTTCTTCGCAGATGTTTATCTTATGCTCGATTAAGATTACATTCCCTGTCTCTCTGTCTCTCTCTCCATCCATACCATTCTCTGTCCATGTTCTGATGTGAGAGACAACGACTCATTCCTCTTCATCCGTGTGCTACGGTTTCTCAGCCATATTGCTAATGTTCATGTAGCAAGGCAGTTCTTAGTCTCTTTGACATTTATATTGAGAAAACGATATCGGTGAGACCTGCCCTAAAACTTAATGTTAGTCGCAGGATCTTAATTTGTTCGTAATGCTCTTCTGACTAATTTCTCCTTCTTATCCACTGGTAACCTTGGGATCCATTTGCCTCTTAGTTTCTCTCTAAATCAAGAAAAATTACATATCGACATGCATGCATGCATGCATGCATACTAGAATTTTAAGCAAAGATTAAGGTTTGTTGTTTGTGGCAGTTCATGTTAGAGGATCAAGAGCAAGATGATCTCCTGGATGATCAGATGATGGATCAGCTGATTCCCGACGTCGATGAAGACTTCGCTAACACGCCAGGAAGTGAGCCCACGGAGGGAGCTTCCGAGGACGAGCTGCAAGATCATGGAAGCCGCGGTAAGAGGAAGCGGCACCACAGGCATACTCCGGATCAAATTCAACGGCTGGAGGCGTAAGAACGATCTGCTTCCTCCCCCGACCTTTTTTGTTTTATTTCTGTTCCTTCGGAGAGCTTTAACATGGTTCGCCACACGGACGCTCTGCTATTCATTAGGTTCTTCAAGGAGTGCCCGCACCCTGATGACAGGCAGAGGAATGAGCTCGGCCGAGAGCTGGGATTGGAGCCTCTCCAAGTGAAGTTTTGGTTCCAGAACAAGAGAACTCAAATAAAGGTCTGCCTCGCCTTGCTCTTACCGCGCGTGCCCACCTACTAAAGACTTTTGATGTGAAAGCCATACATAAGATATCATCGTACATCGCTTCCTCTGTTCATTCATACACACTCTGTCACATCATGCGTGCAGAACCAGAGTGAGCGGGAGGAAAACCAAAGGCTCAAGGATGAGAACGACCGGCTGCTATCCGAGAACTTAAGGCTCAAAGAGGCTCTGACCGGTGCCTGCTGTCCCAACTGCGGTGGCCCTCCTCATCTCGGTGAGATGTCGATCGACGAGCAAGAGCTGCAGGCCGAGAATGCTCGTTTACAGGACGAGGTACGCACTTGGCTTACTCGTCAAGGATGAAAGGCTGCTGCTATAACTCCGTGCCCTTCTTCTTGGTGCAACAGATCGGAAGGATCTCGGCGATAGTCGCAAAGTACGCTGGTCAGCAGCTGATGACCTTCCAAACGCCTTCGTCTTCCATGGTTGGAGGCTTTAGGGCCCAACCAGAACCAGACATGACACTAAATGACAGCTCCAGAGGCGGAGAGGTTGTTTTCAGGCCTCACGATCGGCGAACCGAGATGGGAAGACGGACGGCATTAGCATTAGCACAAGTCGCTGCGGAGGAGCTTCTCGCAATATCTCAGCTGGGCGAGCCTATATGGACTTGGGGCTACGACGGTTTCCGTGAAACCTTGAACCAGGAAGAGTACGCTCGGGCATTTCCCGGAGGGCTCGGGCCAAAGATGGAAGGCTTGAGAACCGAAGCAAGCCGCGAGACCGCAGTCGTTCGCATGCACACCGGGAGATTAGTTGACATCCTAATGGATGTGGTACGCAACACATGATGATGATGATGATGATGATGATGTTGTTGTTGTTCTTCTTCTGAAACTCTTACGAGTTGCATGGAATTCTACAGCAGTTGCATGAATTGACCGGATTGTGGATTGTGTTCCTCTTGATGATCTGCAGAGTAAATGGAGTGTGTTCTTCTCCAGCATCGTCACAAGAGCGACCACCGTGGAAATGTTTGCGACTGGAGTAGGAGAGGGCGGCTACGACGGCACTCTGCAATTGGTATAGCTCCGTTACATGATCTCGCTGTAGAGTGCATCTATATGTCTCTGCGATCGGTATAGCCCTGTTACAACAGAGACCACTCTGCTAACCTAGTTAATTGGCACTGGGAGCTCCGAGCTTAGTTCAGGTGTTGTCAGTTCATACATTGATAAATGGTGAATTTGATTTGATTAATAGGATCTTTTATCGAGAAATTTGACATAGCAGAACCCTATTGTTCGCTTCTTAGCATTACTATTATCATCACCATTTTGTTCATTGGCTATGTGCATTCTCAGATGGCTGCTGAACTACAAGTTCCAACCCCTCTCGTTCCTCTCAGAGAGAGCTTGTTTCTAAGATACTGCAAACGCCATGACGGACTCTGGGTGGTGGTTGATGTTTCTATGGAAGTACGTCTCAACCCGATGGCTCGGTACCGAAGAAGACCGTCGGGCTGCGTAATACAACAACTGCCAAATGATTACTCCAAGGTAAATGAGCCGACAAAACATCGATCTCCACCTTGCAAGTTCCGTTAAACTCTTTCTCTTCCAGATCTGATCTCATGTGTCATGCTCGCTACTACGATGTAGGTGGTATGGATCGAACATGTCGAAGTGGATGACAGTGGTGTTCATGACATGTTCAAGTCGATGGTGAACTCCTGTCTAGCATTCGGAGCTAAAAGATGGGTATCAACAATGACGAGGCAATGTGAGAGGTTAGCTTGCCTCTTAGCCACGAACAGCTCCAGTGCTGATATAGCCGGTGATGACCCTTTCCTTTCCCTGTCAATTCATACGTCGCCTTGTTCAGCTTTCTATTTTCACATCTCTCTTTTTTGTAGCAAATCCTGATGGAACGAGGAACATACTCAAGTTAGCTGAGAGGATGGTGGTGAGCTTTTGCAGTGGTGTAAGTGGGTCTGTGGCTCACCACTGGACAAATATATCCGGGAACGTCGCAGATCATGTTAGGATCAGAAGCAGAAACAACGATGGAGATCCAGGGAGGCCTCCCGGAGTTGTTCTGAATGCAAGCACGTCCATCTGGTTGCCAATTACCCCGAAGAGAGTCTTTGAGCTCCTGCGGAGTGAGTCCTTACGCAACGAGGTATTCAGGGTTCCAGAAATAGTGCGTTCTTTCATTCTCACCCCCCAAAAGAATTAATTACTTTTGTTCTTCCTTTGAACAACACATCAATCACTTGGATTATGTTTTCATGTGGTTATAGCCAGCCATTCCAAACTCTTTTTTATATTTACATGTTAGAATCTGAGCCAGTTCACGATGACATGACTTGCTATTCCAAGGGACGACAGCATTAGCAGTGACGTATATGTTAGACGTTAGCAAATTACCATGAGATTTCTTTCTTTCTGATGCAAAGCCAACTTAGTTTCTTAAACTATTTCTGACAACACAAACTTGTTTGGAAGAAGATGTACCCCTTCATCCGGTCGTTCTGATTTCGATTCTGTAGTGTACCCATACATAATTACATTCAAGATCAATTGATCTCTCTCTCTCTCTCTCTCTCTCTCTCATGCATGACATGCTGGCATCCAGTAGGTGGTTGGATAGAAGATGTGTACATCAATCACATAGATAGATATTTGTAATTTTTCTTGCGTTTTATTGTTGTATGAAACAGTGGGATATTCTATTGAAAGGAGGCATGATTCATGAAGCAGCTTGTATAGCCAATGGCCAACAAGGAGGCAATTGTGTCTCCATATACACCGTCGGAGTAAGTCTTTTGTTGTTCCTTTTTTCGCCTTTTTACTGTTTCTACATTTTCTACTCGAATGCCTTGAGCTGATAAAAATGCATGCTGATCAATGAATGAATGGTAGCTCCCTGAAGAAGAGACCACCAACATGATGATACTTCAAGAGAGCTGCTCCGACCCAACTTGCTCGTACGTGATTTATGCTCCTGTCGATGCTGCTGCCATCGCTGCGGTCCTCAGTGGTGGAGACCCCAACCACGTAGCGCTGCTGCCTTCGGGCTTCGCCATACTCCCCGATAGGCCTTCTTCCGCGGTCGACCATGATGGGGAGACTGACTTGGGGGGGGGTTCCCTTCTGACCGTGGCTTTTCAGATCCTAGTATTCTCGGGTCCCGGTTCCAAGATATCCCGTGGGTTTATAGCGACAGTCGACGGTCTTCTATCCTGCACCTGTGACAGAATCAGAACCATTCTATCGGGCAACAGTGTTCGCTGACGCAGGAGGAAAAAGAGGATCCTTCATCGTAAGTCGATCTTCCTTCCGAAGTGGAAGTTTGCCTGCCTCCGAAACTAGGAAGATCAAATCATCATCATCATCATCATCATCAGAGATTTCTGATTGGCTTTAATAATCAAGAACTGAATGGAATTGATGTTTCAGGTCTATGATTCTGGAATCGTTTTTTGAATGCTTGCTTGCTCTCTAACTCGATTCATTTTCCCTTCACCTTGCAGGAGGAGAACCACTGGGACTTCAAAGATCAAAGATGTATTTTCCACTCTTCAAGCCATGGCGGTCGTCCTTTGGTTTTCAGAACAGTAGTCCATGATAATGATAATTAGATGGTTACCGTATGTATGTTAACAACCGGAACAGTCCTTTTTCATTTTCAGCATGAGTTGAGGATATTTTTCTAATCCGAGCAATCTTCTTCCACTGTTATTCTTCTTGTTGTTGACCTTAACATGTTGTTCATGATGGTGGGGATGAAGCACCTTGTGTTTATTTTGCAGCATTTGTTCTGTTAGTAAGGTCCTAGTTCGAGATGGTCAAGTAGATAGATTGGGATCTTCCTGGTTGCAAGGTTCCTCAATAGGGGTTGATCGTCTGGTTTCTTCGAGCAATCGATGATCCTGCATGATAGGTCGACACCAGGGGTTGCGCCCGACACAATCCTTCCGATGCTTAAGTTAGCAAAGGAGAAAAGATAACAATGTAAACTGTATGATTGAGTTAGTGTGTAGAGAGCCCCCCTTCAACGATCCATAGTTGTTATGAACAGTGATCCATAGCTGTTATGCGATTTTGACCTCCTGCTGTTGGTCTCCTCGTAACAGGTCATTAATGAAGACTAGTTTGTCTGATCCAGCAATGGCATCATCCACAAGGCTTCTAAACTAAGCATCAAACATGGAGTGATAACTCTCGAATCAATAGCAAGGAGTCGATGCACATTGTCACTTCATTTATTTTTCTTTAAAGCATTTATGGGGTTGGATTGGAGAACTCATCTGATGCCCTGATGGAGTTTGTCTCCCTCGTTTATCAATCCATCAAAGGATATAGATTTTATCCAATTCGACTCATAGCTCAAAATTTTGCAGAGTTGTCTGTATCAATGATGTATCGAAAGTTTTACAGCATATCTATGTATAAAACCATCGAGGAGTACAAGTCAAGGAGTGAACGAACTAAGACTACGACTCACTCTCCCACATGAGTAGAGTAAAAATCTATTTATTTTTTTCCTTCATGTTAAATCTCCCAAAAGCAGATTTGGTTCTTCTTCCTTTTGGAGTAGGGGGTGTCACGCATTGCCGTGCTCAATTCCCATGAGAAAGAACACATTAAAAACCATACATAATGATGATTCAATCTAGAATCACACGATCTAATATATGCTTATATAAAAAATTAATGATGGCAAATTCATCTAATTTTATGAACCGATATCGTCTTCCTTGTGGCCGGGTGTCTTATACACACCCAACGGTGTCCGTCCTTCCAGGAATACCCTCATCCCGAAATGCGCTCCACCCGGTTTCTCGGTATGAAAAGACGAAGCTGCCCTTTGGGCGTAGAGAGACCGTTTTAACGGTCGAATTTAGTGAGGCGGGAGCGGTTCTTTACGGGAAAGGTGGAGTCAAAAGTGGCAGCAACGGAGGAAACAGTCGCAGGATGCACTCCCACCACGAAACGGAAGAGAAAGAAGTGGAGAGGATGTGGGAAGATTGGGGCAGTTCGATCAAGGCGTAGAATAAGTTGGAGAGATCGTAGGAGAGAGAGGAACCAGACAGATAGAGGGAGAGAAAGAGGAGAAGCAGGGAAACCGATGGCGCAAGTAAGCAGAGGAGAACAGGCAGAGGAGGTCAATGGATCATCGATCAAGAGAGGGGATGAGGAGGACGCAGCAGAGGGGAGTGCGGGTTTCAAACTTAACGTCCACGCGCCGGAGTTCGTACCCAGGTCACAGTTGCAAGCCGTGCCGCCCTTGTCGGGCTGCTTCTACCCTTACCTCCCTTTCTTCGAGAATGGATGCGGCGGCTCGGCGCTGGGGCCGGGGTGGTTCTACTTTGCGGAGCAAGAACCCATTCACTTCATCCCGGATTTCCATGGAAAGGTTGCAGGACATTCGAAGGACAGCAACGATGTGATCCAGAAGATCGTAAAGCAGGTCTCACTCACGCAATTCGTCCTCCGTTTTCCTCTACCGTCAATTGTTGCTATCATATTGCGTGCATTGCATGTGATGCAGGTGGAGTACCAATTCAGTGATACTAATCTGGTCGCGAACGACTTCCTAATGAAGATCATGAACAAAGATCCACAAGGCTTCGGTGAGTAGATGATGATGCCATTGACGGTTGATTCAGTAGGGAGATCGATCCTGTTTCAGACGAGTATACTCGATTCCTCTGAAGCAGCTAATCCATACTTTTTTTTTTGTGTCCTTCTGGTCCCAGTTCCGATGTCGGTTGTCGCATCTTGGAAGAAGATAAAATCTCTGGGTGCAAACCATCACATGCTCATCAAAGCACTTGGGACCTCAACCAAGCTCGTGAGTGCTTCCTGCTTTCTCCATGCTCGCTCCACCGCATGTCATGACAACTACTGCTTCGGCTATTACGTTTGGCATCGAGCATTCACATTCCACTCTGCAGGCTCTTAGCGAGGACGGCAAGAAGATTCGGCGTAAACAACTCTTCACGGAGCGAGACAAAGAGGAACTGCAGGTAAAGTAAAGTAGGAAGCGCATCACGAATCAAGGAACAAGTTACACGTCTTCCTTGTGTGTGACTCATGGCATTGTTTCGTCTCTCTGCTCTAGTCTCGCACTGTTGTGGTAGAGAACTTGCCCGAGGATTACTCACGTCAGAACCTTGGAAAGCTTTTCAGCGTTGTTGGGAGGTTAAATATACTTGTATTTTCACTCCTATCGATCGACCGAATATATATTTATATATAGTATTATAGCAGAGGTGTGAATTAGCTTTAAAAAGAAAAAGAGTTTCTCGTTTTCCTGGACAGCGTGAAGAACATCCGGATATGCCATCCTCAAGAACCCAATTCTGCCACAAGTTCTAAAAGCGATGTGCTAATCAATAACAAGGTATGTTTCTCTCGGCAGATATATATGATGGGAGTTGAGTAGAATCGATTGCGCACTTCCCAGTCCCAAGTCGTAAGTAGAATTATAACAAGGTATGATTTGATTGAAGCTGCATGCACTCGTGGAGTATGAGAGTACCGAGCAAGCTGAGAAGGCAGTAAGTTGACGAGGAATTGTGGTAGATTTGGCATTTTGTGATCCGTGCTAAACTTCGTCTCATTTACAGCGAAAGCCATTGTGCAGGTTGAGAAGCTAAACGACGAAAGGAACTGGAGAAAAGGCCTTCGAGTTCGAACTATGCTAAGATGCTCGGTACTTTTTAATCTCTTCTCTAAGATTCATCGGCTAACCACGTACATACATCTCATTCTATACATGCTGAGCTCGCTTTTACTCCCTTTCTAGCCAAAATCCGTGATAAGAAGCAAGAAATTAGACTTCGATCACTTCGATCTGTACGCCGAGGACGATCAATCACCTTCCTCTCCAACATTAGGCTCTCCTCGCATCGAACACCTACTTGACCACAGCGTAAGTCGCCACCCGATGATGCCCATCTCTAATCGGCGTTCTTGAATCTCTGTTGCATGTCTTGACAGACGGAAGACAACCAAAGCGGTTCCAGAAAAGGACGGGGAAGGGGGCGAGCCAAGTCGCATGGACTACTGCTTCAGAGTCACAGTGAGAGTGGCTTACTGCCCCACTCGCCACACTCAGGCGGCGCCCTCGGCCATGGAGAAGCCTCGAGCAAGCAGAGTCCGCAGGGGCCAAGAATGCCCGACGGCACGCGCGGGTTCGCCATGGGTCGCGGGAAGCCGCTGAGCCCTGTGCTTGGACGCGCGCCATCACCAGCAGCAGCAGGTCCATGAGTCGTCCCTTCACCCGTGAATCAGAAGCCGGTGGCTGTGGGGAACATCCCGCTTTCCTTCATAGCGATGGTGAAAGGTGTTGTAATGATTAGCCGCTCGCTGGCTGGGTTGATCGGAGTGAGCGACGCTGTAATTCTTCCCTCTTTTCCCACTGTCGAGTGCTCATTTTGTTCCTTCATTGCTTCAACCACTGATTTGTACGATGTAATGGTCTGCAGCTAGAAACCAATAAATATTCGGATGAATACTTCGTTCCGATGATAAAAATAATTTTCTTTAATTACATTTTTTTTTATTTTTTATTTTAAAAATATTTTATACGTATATAATAATTTTATTTAGTTCAGTTTGAAATAATGATATTTTCATATACTTAAATTATTTATGTGAAATTAGATCCATTTGAAATGATGATATTTTCGGATGTTGATTTTGTAAATTATCTTGATAATAGAAATTTCAGGATAATTTATAGAAAAAAAATTTGAGTAATTTATGATATATTAGAATAATTTTTTTCTCTAAGAATGATAAGTTTATAATTGTATGCATTATGGTATACAATATAAAATATAAGAATAAAGAGTGCTGTGAGATTTTGAAGGTTGCAAACTCGATGGAGCATTATTAATCAATCTTGCATTCATGAGACTGTGAAGGTTTGAGCTGCCAAATAGTGAATCATAACTCCTTACGATAAAAGGAAAACACACACCAAAAAAAAAAAAAAGAAGAAAAGAGCTGGAAATTTGGCAGAACAAATCCGGCTCATTGAATTAGTAGTAGATAGGTTCCCACCGTGGAGCCTAATTTGGATTTGATTTGGTTGGATGATGACGATGATGATGTGGGCCCACCCACCCCCAGTATGGATGGACCACTGCGGTTGAGGCTTTAATTGAGATAATGGCATTGCTGGCTACAGCTTGGAATGGACTCCTCCTCATAAACACACTCTCTCTCTTCCATTTTACCTCCACTGGTACTCTATTTCCTCAGAAACACTGTCAGTCCTCAACCTGATTCACACCACATCAACATGACTATAATAATAATAATAATAATAATAATAATAATAATAATAATATGGTATTTAATTGCCTTCAACTTAAAAACTACCACGAAAGGCATGTATGTGATGAAGTAAGTAGTAGGATCCAATTTCATGGTGTTACTATAACCATTAATATCTTTACCAATTAGAAGAAGAATTTTTGGATTTGGAACCCTTTGTTGTTAGCATTAAAAAATAATTATGTTATTACATTAAAAAAACACTTTAAGATATGATTATTCGAAAATTATAATGATACTAATATGTCAGTAGAATTATACTCATCAAAATAAAATCTTATATTTCAGTTCTTGTAATAAATATTACTATACAGTTTCATAAATCTTAATATTTCAGCTCTTGTAAAAATATCTTATGAATGTAATGTAATAATAATAATAAAAGAAAAAAGGGTGAGAAATAAAGACTATTCGGGTCTTCTTCTTGTTTTCGGGACCTCAGTAAGAGACACAGACAAGAAAGAGAGAGAGAGAGAGAGAGAGAGAGAGAGAGAGAGGGGTCATATGACATGAACGGCGGTTATTAATATGCTGTTGTTAATGCCGCCCGCTTCCCCCCACTGACTGCCACCACCATCACCACCACCACCACCACCACCACCACTTCATCATCACCAATAAAAGAGACTGCCTCCTCCTCCCTCTTCCCTCGCCCTTTCTACTTCAAGCGGAGAGGGAGACGGAGGGGAAGAGATATGGGAGGCCCTCCGCTGCTCTCTTTCCCTTGCGAGCTCCTCGCCCTCCTTCTCTTCCTCCTCTGTGAGTCCATCTTTGCCTCTGCCGTTCTGATCCTTACTTCTCTTTCCTCCTTTGCCCGTTCTAGGATCCGTTCCCTTTCTCTTAATTTACCTCGATTTGTGATTCCGACCTGGGTTTTGAGGCTTCGGCTTGGCATTGTGAGATTGCTTGCTGGTTTGGTGGCCTTATCTTGTTGATCTTTGATGTTATTAAACATGGCTCCTTTCTGTTTGATTTTTGGTCAAGGAAAGAGTTCTCGTGACGATCTACTCGTATTTAGCACTAGTAGTCCTCTTACGAATTTTACTTGGTAAATTTGGTGTTTATTGGGTTCGCTTTACGCTCTCCTGGTAAGCTCATGTTTTCTTGGGGTTTTTCTTCACCGAAAAGCCGGCTGAAACCGCACTGGGACCCTTTTTTTTATTTTTATTTTTATTATTTAGATGCTAGGGGTTGTAAAAGGTGAGCTTTTTTACTCATGAGTCCTCCCTTGATGAACCTCTCATTATGTTTAGGGTTTAGTGTCTTAAAGATGGCTTTTCTGTGCTTTCAACGAGCAATGCGGGGGAAATGTCTGTGGTCCGAGGTTGTAATCCGATTTAAGAATATGATCCCTGTGTTCCTACTGAAACCATGATGTTCTTGCGTAGAGCGCTGGCTTTGTGACTGCACATATTTGTAAGAAGATCTAGCTTCCTTCAGCCGCAATCGAATCTTTGTGATGTTACCTGCCCTTGTGGCATAAATTTCACTACAAAGTGGCTGTAGTTCACCACTCGTGTTGCTTCCTCCAGAGACAAGATATGATTTTGCCTATTGCATCTGGCCAATTGCAAATTTATTTACCTACTAGGAAAAGAAACAGTCAAGGATGGAGTACCCTCTACTCTGACGGCATTGCTTACTGGTTTCACCATCTTTTAGGTGACCGAAAGGGTATGCCTAGTTGATGAAAGAAATTGGAAATTCACTTCGATTAAAGTGATAAACGGCTCATCAAAATTGAATTTCAAGTTCCGCATTAGTTTTATAGTTCTTCATGGCCTCTAGACATATGCCGTTGGCTAACTCTCTGGGATAGCATCACTTGGAACTACATTTCGATAGGCTTGTGACGAAGGTTGCTCCAGTGGACTGATCAATTTCCCATTAGTTTAGAATATTTCACTTCTAGAGGAATTATAGTGGTGGCCACTTGGCATCAAGAGATCAAGCTGCAACTAAGAAAATAGGTTACTGACAGTACTTGTTTTTCTTGAATTTGCTTTCGGATGTGATTTTCACTAGCTTTACAGAGTTCAAGTCAGGTTGGTGACTGGATCCTAATTCTTTTCCTAGTATGCTCATTTCTCACTCTTTGATATTTTTACCAACTTTTGGTCATATCTATTTTCATAATACTTCAGACAATTGTGTATATGTATTGAATAGAGAAAGAACACCTATTTCATTTACTAGTTATAAACAAGAAAAACACTTAACAAAAAAGAATTTTGTCTGTTAGATGAACTTGTATATTGAACCTCTAATTTTTTTATCTATCATCTTATTTAGGCAAACATCTTACACATGCCACAAACTGTTCTGCTGCCTTTAATTTTCTTTAGTTGGTGAAATTACTGAAAAAATAAAGCACCAAAAGCCTTCATTCTACTCTAGATTGATAAGTTTCCAACGCATAATTTGGTCTTGTAACTTGACCGATAATAATTACGTTGGTCAAGGTATATTGATTGTTATTGTCCCTTTAATGCTAGTTCTTTCTTCCATAGAATTGTGGATTTTCTTTGACACTCTTATTAAATCTCATGAGAACTTGTACTTATCTCTACAGTGCACACATTTACGATTTGGCTTTGTTTCATTGGTAACAGATGCAACAACAATGAACCTCAAAAGTATCACAGACAAAGGATTGTTTATATAATTTCACTGTCATATGAAATCCCAAGAATTTTTACTGTGCTTTATTCTAGCAGACTTTTTCCTGTTCAGTCTAGCCACAAAAAATATCTCATGCCAAGGATTGTTTATATAACTTCACTTCATTTGAAATCCCAAGAATTTTTCACTATGCTTTTAGAGCAGACCTTTTTCTTATTCAGGCTAGGCACTTCATTGTTATTGTAAATCATGTCGTGTTGTGACTTATGACCAACCTTACTACGTAACTGATGTTCAGGTCTGCAAGACTTCTACAAGTTCGACAATATAATTGTCCATAGCTTTGCAATGGTGGATCAGATAACAGAAGAAAAGGAGAACGCCCTAATGCCTGACATTTCTCCAAGTAGTGCACCGCAACCTTTTCTTCCTGTTCTGGCTCCTTCCCCAATGGCAACACCATTTTTCAACAGCAGTATTCCAAAACTATCAGGTCCTGATAGCTTTATGATAAATTGACTATAATGAAGCTCAGGAGTAACTATAAGCCATATGAGTTGCACTTATTGTTACTTTGCTTTTGTAGGGCAGTGCATATTAAACTTTTCTGCAGTTGACAGTTTAATAAGTACAACTGCTGTTGATTGCTGGACCTCTTTTGCTCCTTTCTTGGCCAACGTAATTTGTTGTCCCCAGTTTCAGGCCACCCTTATCATTCTAATAGGGCAATCAAGTAAAGAAACAGGGTTGCTTGCTTTAGATTCCACTCATGCAAACTATTGCCTATCAGATATTCAACAAATTCTTGGAAGTCAAGGTGCCAATAGTGACCTTCAAGAAATTTGCTCAGTCCACCCATCTAACCTCTCTGAAGGCTCCTGCCCTGTAAGTGATACCGATGGGTTTGAGAGTGTTGTTGACTCTTCTCAACTCCTTACTGCATGTGGGAAGGTGGATCCTGTGAATGAATGTTGCAGTAAAATCTGTCAGAATGCCATACTTGAAGCTGCAAGGAAGCTTGCCTTGAGAGATGGTGGATTGACGACAAGCATGGCTATAAATAATACTTTGATTCAGCACTCATCTAAAATTGATAGTTGCAGAAGCATTGTCCTTAGATGGCTGTCTAGTAGACTCGATCCATCATCTGCAAAGCAAGTGCTGAGACGGCTGTCCAACTGCAATGTCAATGGAGGTAGTTTCAAGTTTCATTTTCTTCTCTTTTAAATATGCTGCTTCAAAATCCTTCATTAGTAATCACTTGATTTGTTTTCTTTTGGGTTGACACTTGATGTGCATGCACAATATGCTGGCTTATTTACGATTCCTTCCAAATTAATTTATTTTTTCTGAAATGATTTGTTGATTTGACCTAGTTGATTAAGATAAAACTACTGCTAGAAAGGTAATACAATATGGATCAATTGATGTCAAGTTGTTTTTAGATTTCTCAAAGTTCTCCAACTGATAATGCACTAATCACAGATCAAACACGATTAGTGAATGACTTTTACCTCATCACTATTTTAAACTACACTTGATACCAAGGAAAATTATTGTTTGATATATTTATGACAAAAATATGTTCAACTGTTTGAATTGTTTTTTGGCACTGCCATTTGCCCTTTCAGGCATCTTCTAATCTGTATTTCACCTTATTTTGAAACCTTTCCCATCACATGGTAAAGCGAAACACCTCCATTTTTGTTATTTTATGTGACATTTCATGTCATAAATTTGTAGTTCTCCTTCATGTCATGGATCCCACTATAATTGATATATAAAATTCATCATTAGAGACTTTTGTTTTAACCTCCAATTTGTATATACATATCTAAAGTGATTTTTTTTTTTTATGATTTTGGTTATCAATCATGTTGGAATATTGTGGTTTACTGCTTTTTTTGTTGTTTTTGTATAGGTTAATTGTTATATTTCTATTGTTGTCCAACTATGGTTAGATGCTTCTCTTGTTAACTGCTTTACCTTTTCAGATTACCTTTTCCCCTGGATCTAACCCATAGAATGGGTTACTCACTTTGGTCAAAGAAAAATAAAACAAAATATGCAAGTTGGAGCTAGCAGCTTGTTTATCATATTATGGAGGAATTGGTGTAAGGTTATGAGATCCCCTGGACTGGTGTAAAATGACCCGTAAAGATCCTCAAAGTTGCTCGTAGCATGAGACTTCTTTCAAAGTCTCTCTTTCTTTACAAGTCTGATTCGGCCCATTACTATTACCCACCATCAATTAAAAAAAAACAGTAGAATGGTAGCTAGCCAATTCTTTGCTGAAGTGGTGCAAGCTTGATTGAAAAAATATTCATATGTAGCTTCATTTTGAGTACTGTTCCAATATCAGTTTTCTCGAACTGGTATGCTTCTGATATTACTAAGCATTATACCAATCTGGACTTCCCGGCATAGCAAAGGAATATAATAATAATAATGAATGGTATACCAAGTGATACTGAGCTATATGTTTCACTGCCAGTGCTTGGTTTGACCTTGTTAGGCACTGGTTAGTACATACTGTCCAATCAGTATTTTTAATGACAATTTATAGAATTATCAAAATTATCTGTAGCAACTGAAAGGATATCTAAGAGCTTTTCCTGAAGTAGTAGAGGTTTAAGGTTGCCATCAAGTTGAGAATGAGAGAAGTATATGATCCAGTGAAACAAATCCACTGTTAAATTTATTCCCAATAGATGAGAGACTGAAACATGAACATTGATTGTCCAATAGATGAGGATAAGATCCTATAGATGAAACCTTTGAAGAATGAAGTTGACTTAAAAAAACACTTGAGGAACAAGTGTTCTTGAAGTTTTATCATCAAAGTGGATCACTGAGGATTTAAAGAAATGATATAGAGACAACTTATGCTGATACTTTCCCCAGCTAACAAAGAGATTTTATGACTATATAGATATACTATTTTGCTGTCACATTAGAATTTACCTTTAACAATCAAATGTATCTTTGATGCGTTTTGGTTCAAGAACTTGCTCAAAGAGTCATTCTAGGTTGAGTGGCAACTACTGAATTGCTTGATACTCCACCAATCAATATTTCAGAATTTGCTAAATGAGGAGAGACCATGAACACAAATGTTCAGTCTTGAACTAGAAATGTCTAAAGTAGAACTGTACATCGTGAACCTCTTCATGATACTGTTTGAGTTCCTACTATAACTATTAAGCTTCTGGACCATCAAGAAGCATGAAAATTAGTTGTAGAAGTAGAAACACTGCATCATTGATGAACTGCTTCTTCAGGATTTGGCATCAGCATGTACCATCAGGTCCTACAAAAAGGTTGGCTGGGATATCCAATGTCCTTGTTTGTTCCTTTTATATCTCCCAAGATTCTGCAGATGTGTATGCTCTCAATTAGTAGATATCTTCTCAACCAGATGATATATTGTCTGTTCTATATACTTGATTGCTTCTGCTGTTTCCTAACTTCAAAGTGAATGTTCTGTTGATTTCCTCTTACTTCCCCTGTGCTTCTGTTTGCACAGTTTGTCCACTAGATTTTCCAGATACAAAGGGTGTCGCTAAAAATTGTGGCAATGAGATCAAGAATGATACTGCCTGCTGCCATGCTATGGAAAATTATGTATCTCACTTGCAAAAACAAAGCTTCATAACCAATTTGCAATCCTTGGGTTGTGCCTCCTTGCTTGGTCTGAAATTGCAAGAAATGAATGTCAGCACAAATATTTATAGTTTGTGCCAGATATCTCTCAAGGATTTTTCACTCCAAGGTTAGTAGTATATAGCTTTGAGCTATAACATCAGAATCTATTATCTTTCACACTCCGACTGGTATGAGAGGTGGCCAATATCTGAAACTTTTTTAGCATTTTTTGTTGATTTTTTCAATTGCTAAATATCATACTGACACTAATTTTTTTCTTTTTTTACCTTTGTATGGGCTGTGCTCAAATTTTGGAATTGCAAAACAGTTGGAACTCAAGGTAAAATCTATTGTTCAGTGATAATGTCCTAGTTGTGTTGTTGACATGCTGATTTATTTTTGATGCTATAATTTGTTTAGATGATTGGATTGATGAGCTTCAGGTGTGGTAATTTTATTCTTGATTTTTGTAGCGTTTGAAAGCGAAACTTTCTTTAGATGATTCACCTTTCCAACATCTAATGATACCCTGTTAAATTTGGTCTAGGAGTAAATAGGCATGCATTGTTTACTCGTCAGCAGTTCCTTATGTATGATATGTCTGAGGCTTATCCCTATCTTGTCTGTATCAAAGCTGATGCTTGTTTAACACCATTATCCAAAGCTCGTGCCCAATATAAATCTGAAATTCTTGAGAAGACATCCTAGGAACTTGTAGCAGTTTAAAATTGGAGACAGTGATCTAAAGCAGGCACTAGCACATGCAACAGATGCCAATAGCCTTCCATTATGTCATTGTGGATAATAGCTGATTTTATAAATTCATTTATTTAGTTAATGGTGAGATGAATCATCCCAGTTGGCTTTCTTTGCTTTTAATGCTTTATGTTTCAAAGTTGTTTAATATAGTAGCTATGTATTGATTCCATGTTTATATTTTGTCCTATTAATGGGTGCAAACACAGAAATGAATATTGTTTCAGCATTTAAGTTGCTATTAGTATATTGTGTTGAAAGCAGATGGATTTTGTTCCAGAGTCTGGATGCCTTCTTCCAAGCTTGCCATCAGATGCGACTTTTGACCCTTCTTCAGGGATTAGCTTCACATGTGATCTGAATGACAATATAGCAGCTCCTTGGCCATCTGCATCTCAAGCATCATCTTCTTCCTGCAATAAGTGTATGTAACTTAATATACCATCTGTCCACTATTTGTGGTCTCTTTCCTTTACAATCTTTTTTCTTATTCATTACACAGTGGTATACACTTTGTCTGTGAGAATATTCCAGTGGTTCAACCTCAACTTTAAAAGGTCTATTTAGATGATATTTCTGTCTTCAATATATTACTGCATCTATTCAGAAGATTTTGCAGTAACAGACACATTCTGACTTGCATATCTCATGTTTATCTTGATTTGAAAAAGGCAATTTCTAATATTTGAACCAACAGTGTTCTTATCTTGTTCAGTAAATGAAATTGGAAGATTTTTGTTCACATAGATTTGGTTCTGTTGTTCTCCTGTTTTTGATCAATTCAAACCGCACTCCCCATCCGGTTCTCTTCTGCTGTTTCCCTTCTGTTAGAAATATGTATTTGACATGGTCTTTTGATTTTTGCAGCTGTTAATTATCCATCACTGCCCGCTGCAACATCTTCACAGTTAGGTAAGATCAGGACATATAATCATGATGATCCTTACATGCACAAATGATATAATTAACAGCTGTTAATTTGTTAGCATAGCTTTGCTTAGACATGCCCAAATGATATACTCATGAAGTTAAACTCAATGGTTCACACTACTTTTGAGGTTATGTTTTGTGCTTTTGTCCAAGTTCTTGTTCGAGCTGTTTCTTAGGATCTTCGTTTTTGAATAGCTCTGATCATGGTATTAGCACCCTTTGATTTTCAAATATGAAATCATTAATATGTTCCTATATACTGTTTTTTTGTTTTTCAGGTCTAATTGGAACTGATATGAAACTTGCGATGGTCTTTTCTTTATCACTGCTACTTATAATGCTACTGTAATCAACTTGGGCTCCCAGTGTAATGATGTATCAAGAATGCTGCCACCAGGCATGTTCATCCTGGTCCTCTTATCAGTAAAGGTTAGCATTTAGTGGTGGCACTATCCCTGTAGCTTAAACGATATTCTGCATCTGTTAGGAATTTTAGTGACCATACTTTTTGGTTCCGTGATTGATTCTTGTAATCAATGTAATAAATATTTGTACAGTAAAAAATGAGTTCAAGAAGAGAATGTGCTTGTAATTAGTTAAATTTTAACCCATTTGAAATTCCTCTGAAGCTTAGATCAGACGTAAAATTCACATCGCTATGCATGATCCTTGTATGATAGTTATCGCTCGGATAGAATTGTGCAGGGACAGAGTGCAGATGAAGAATGTAAACTGGCTGATCTAGATGAATGCTTGTATGGATTGTTTATGTATGTAATTGAATAATCCTTAATGTAATGAGTGTGCAACACTATTAGAATAATCATATTCTCTTTTTCTAAGTTGACATAAATTTGTGTTCCTTTGTTGAGGTCCAAAGACATGATATTTCTTTACTGCTTATTGGCTTCACTAAGTCTGTGGATAAAGTTTCCCAAAGAAATTGAATGCTAAAGATATCTTTGCTTTCCTTATTTTAAGAATTTGTAAGATTTGCCATTATATGCTCGTTTTATTAAAAAGTTTTTTGTAATCATTGTTTGTAAATTTGCTGAATGATATTGGAATTTATCATTCACATGCAAGTATTATAAATTTTTTTGTAATACTTGTGATAACGAGATTAAGGAAAAATGAAAAAAAATTATTTTTATAAATTATTTAATAAATATTTCACATATGATTTAGATTTAACGATGAACAATAGTGGTAGATTTAATAATTATAGATTTGTTTATAATATTTTTGTTAATGAAGTTAAAGACACATTAAAGTAGATGAAAATAGTTAAGTTTGATGGTATGCTCGTTGAGATCTAAAAAAGTTTAGTTTAGAGGACAAGAGAGTAGCTTAGTTAATTAGTTTATTTAATAAAATCATGAGATTCGAAGGGATGTACGATGAATGGAGAAAGAGTTTTTTAGTGTAAATTTAAAAAAATAAGGGTGATACATAAAATTTTTTAAATTATAAAGAAATTAAAATCATGATTCGTACTATAAAATTTTAGTAAAAAGTTACTTAAAGTAGGATAATACTTGAAACAAATATGTTTGAAAATTAATTTGGTTTTATGATTGGAAGATAATTAAATTATTAAGATAATTAATAAAAAATATAGGGAGAAAGAAATATTTTTATATTGCTTTTATTGACTTAGAAAAAGCCTGGGTTCCTAGAGATTTATTTTGGTAGATTTAAAAAAAAATGTATCCAATATATATATATATATATATATGATCATGTCCCCTCGACATTCTTACTGTTGTTGGTGTATGGCATGTACCAACCAGTTTAGGATGAGAATTCCACCTCGAGTTCTTCCTCCCATATCTCATGGCGCATGCTCCAAGTCTCAATCCACATACTCCGTGCTTTCAGTACTCCGGAGATCATATTCTACCGAGGGTCCTTCCCATGGGAATTCCTGCTATTTGACACCCTCGAATCCACCAATCTCTGTCCTGGATGGATGTACACAGATGATCGAGGATCACAAAGAGCTGAGCTGGATCCAGTCATGGCTTAACATCAAGTCAAATTGGTTTCTTCGATCACATCGTGCAGAAAGTTGCAAGTATAATTAAATCAGCAGCACAGTGGAAGCGCCAGAGAAAGGAGGCGACCATCGGAAATATGGGGGGCTCATCCATCATCGGAAGCGTTTTGTTCCCTAATACGGGTGATGGGGTTGGAGTCCCATTGAATCTTGTCTTTTGTTACTGGCCTTGCCATGTGTTGTCAGCGTCACAGTCTTCGCTAGATTTCAAGCAAGGGGCGGTGTGGCCCTCTCCTGCCCTCCCGCTGCAACCCATCTTCCTAATTCACCTCTGCCTGCGGCAGTGTGCATGGTATTGGCGGTCAGGAACAGAACAGGACACTCGAGTTTTATCTTTGCTGGGAAGCTGACACACACATACCGATGCTGTGCGCTATTTCTACCATGATGGAATCTAGTCGCTGATTCGGATTCGAGCTTGTGATTTAGCAGCTAGATTGATTCCGGTAGTATGGTTAATGATTACAATCAACTGTACGTTACTGTTACCTCCTCCTTTAACATTGACATTTGGTGTGCCAGAAATCTCTATCATTTTGGGTGAATTGCACTACTTTTTCTATTTCTCAAGTGTCATTCTCCCCCTTTTACTTGCTGGTACGATCCATCTCCTTTGCGTCATCCCTTTCTCTCTGCCACACCGTAATGGGGCGATCCGCCGCCCGGACGCAATTCCCGGAGAGCACCGCTCGGGCCATCCGCCCCTCCAAAACCACCACCACCCCTCGACGGGCCCACCGCCGACGCCGCATCAAGAACCCGTCTTTCCCCGGCGGAAGGCGGAGTCGCCCCGCCACTCCCCTCCCGACGTGGAAGCTCGGAGATGCGGACCGCTCGAGGCGCCAGGAGGAGGACGAAGACGTCCGAGGGTCGGCGGCCGCGTTCTCTGCCAGGACGCTCGCGGCGGCGTTGTGGCATTCGCAGGTGGTGGAAGTAGGCAGCGGCGGTCGGCTTGGATTCGAGGTAGGACCGTACTATAAGCTTTCTAGGGTAACACATATGGCAAACCTTGAATTTTGATTCGGTTCTTAGCCTAAAATTCGCTGCTTTACCCGTGATTTCCGTGTAATGATACCCCATAGTGGGTGAATGCTTTGATCTCGTCGTTCAAGAACCCTTGCACTGGGAAGAACGATACCTCGGTTGTCATGGAAATGGCAATTTGTTTATCTTTTGCCCCGTTTTTTTTCCTTCTTGGACTATATGGAGGAGTTTTGCTCGAATTTGTTGCAAGGTTTGGTTGATCGTCCCAAATATGGCTTTTTTTCTTTTCCCTATAGTTGCCATCGAAAGAAATGAGGAAGCGATCGAATGTTGTATTTTTTTTTTTTTCCATGCAGAAAGAAGGTTCTCCTGTATCCATAGTAGATTGATTGTTCAAAATTGTTGAAGTGTAAATCTTTCGGCTTTGTTGTTGTTGTCGTTGTTGTTGTTGTTGTGTGTTGTCAAGTGTCAATCTATCTCTCGCCTCAATCGGAGGACATCTTTGGAAATTCCAAGTGATTATGATTCTTAGTATCACAAAAACCAACTCAGAGAAAGGAATTCGTTTTGCTCATTGTATTTGATCGGGATACTGATTCTTAATATTAATGAGATTTCTCATCTCTTTAGTTGGCATCATTGTGTTAGATTAGATTCCTCTGTTGTGGTCCTGTATCAGCTCTAAGAAGTGGTCCTAATATGGTGCTTCTTTCATGTGGCAAATCGTGTCTGTATTTATGCCCATTGTGTACTACTTTTTTTTTTTTTTCTTCTTCTTCTTCTTATTGCTTATTATCTTACCATATCTGTGCAATTTTGCAGCCTGATCCAAGGCATGTGAATTTCCCGAATGTCTGTGATCATGATAGGACGGCCCTCCATACTAGCATTAGTAATGAGTTTGCTAGTCCTAGTTCAACCAGCAGGTCCAAAACTACCATAAAGAAGGTAATCTTATCTTTGCGGTCGGTATGCTATTAGGAGTATTGATTATTCAATCTGATACGGCATCCTTTTAATTGATTTTATCCAAAAAGCAGCATGAATTTTCTGGCATGTTTACCAATTTCGCATTGGAGAGGACAACAAAATGGGAGGCTGGGTGCTCAGGATCTGCGGAAGGGATCTACCATACTTTTGGTCACCAGAAGCTTCTCAAAGATTGGTTGAATACTGCCTCTGTTGTTTCTGTTCTCCAAGCAGAGCTCGAGCAGGCTCATTGCCACATTAATGAGCTCGAAAAAGAGAGAGAGTCTGCCAAGGAAAAGCTCGATCACTTCTTGAAGAAACTCGGAGAGGAAAAAGCTTCATGGCAGATCAATGAGCATGAGAAGGTTCGGAACATTATAACATCCATCAAGGATGACCTCAATAGAGAGAGAAAAAGCCGGAAGAGGATGGAGATTTTGAATTCCAAACTGGTAAATGAGCTTGCTGAGGCCAAGTTATCAGCAAAGCAGTACTTGCAAAACTACGAGAAGGAGAGGAAGGCACGTGAGCTTATCGAGGAGGTATGCGATGAACTTGCAAAGGAGATTGGAGACGACAAGGCCAAAGTAGAATCTTTGAAGAGGGAATCAACAAAAATCCGGGAGGAAGTGGATGAAGAGAGAAAGATGCTGCAGATGGCAGAGGTTTGGCGTGAAGAGAGGGTACAGATGAAGCTGGTCGATGCAAAACTCATGCTCGAAGAGAAATATGCAGAGTTGATCAAACTTCAATCTGATTTAGATTCTTTTCTCAAAAGTTGTGACATCACTAATGCAAATGCATCATCGCTGAAGGAAGCTGAGGTGCTTAATGTGGTTGCCAGCTCGATGAAGTTCCAGGATGTTGAATTTCTTTATCAGCCTCCTGCTTCAGGGGATTTCCTTGTCTCTGATGAACTCAAGTCAAGAGACGAGGCTAATGAAAGGGGGATCGAAAAATGCTATGGCTACAGTCCCAAAAGTCATGCCTCTAGGATACACACTGTTAGCCCTGAGACTGATATCTTTCTGGAAAGTTGCGTGAGCCATGCCGAGGGTCAGGGTTCTTGCAATTCTCCAAAAGGGAGTGATCCATCCGCAAATGGCATCCATGAAGAAAGCCATGCATCAGTTAGCAGAACTGATTGGAATCTGAAAAGTGATGCTAGCAATTTAAAAAGTGAAACGAGTGAAATTTGTTCAGGAACCACTAAACAATCTAGGAAGAAGGTGCCTTATATAGGTAAATTTTGGAGATCATCTTGTACAAGCAACAGCTATAACAAGAAAACCCCACTAGATATATCAAATGGAAAGCTACCGAATGGTGGGTTGTTGAATGCCGCTCTATCCCCTGATATGATTTCAGGTGAAGCTGGTCTAAGCTCACCGAGCGTGGAGCAGGGGAGCTCCTCTAATTCAATTAACCCACATGTAGGTAGAGGAACAAAAGGATATGTTGAATGGTCAAGGGACACAAAGAACCATAGTTTGAAGACAAAGCTCCTGGGGATGAGAATGGAGAACCAGAAAGTACAGTTGCGCCATGTTCTTGAACATAAGTCTTAGCATGAACATTTTTTTTTGCTATCAGAGATGTGTGCCATTCGACCAAGCTGGCTGTTTTTTTGGTTTCATGGTAGTGCTGGTGCCAGATCTAAAGCATGACTATGTATTTATTATATGATCACTATCGCCAAGGCGGAACGCAGCTGGGTCGGTGAGAATTGGACATACATTTGGGCCATTTAATGCATTAGTTGCTGTTGTTGAAACTACTTGTACCTTGATGCCTCCTTCAAGCTACAGCGAGAACCTAGAGCATATTGTACGAGACTTCTCTTTGTATGATCATATTCTTTCTCGTAATCGTATATATTTTGTTACCTTACGATACACGTATCATTGTTTGAAGCAAGCAACAAGCGAAATATGTTGGATCTTTTTCTTTTCTTTTTTTCTGTAGTGCTTTTAAAGAAAACTTTACATGGATTGATTTCCTCAAATCTGTAGTTGCTTCACGTTTGCCTCTTGTTGTCATCATCGTTTACCATTCTTAATTTTTCTATAACATTTTCTAGATTCTATAATAATGGAGTTACCCTTCAAAGTGTTTGAGCATTAAGACATTTGGATCTTCGATTTGAAGGAGTTGGTGCTGATGGTGATTGGTCTCCTGAAAACCTGCTCTATAGTAGCAATTTTAGTTATTGCAGACGGTAGCCATGTCAAATTTGTTCATGCATACAGACTGTACTTGTGATTTTGCCAAGTATAAGTCATGTATCTCTAGTTTTTAGGGGGTTTTTTGTTTTCCTTTTTATGTGTGTAATTTGTTATGAACTGAATAATTTGGCAGCTTCACTTGACTAGTGAGTCATGGCTCCAGACATTGTTTCAGTTAAAGCTTGCATAACAAAATAACCCATATCAAGTGGCTTTTCTGTGTGTGTTTTGATTGCAGATCCTGCAAGTTGCTTGCCTGTGTTGTGCTTGGAGCAGTGAGGAGGACCATTACAAGCCATGGTGAGTGTCCTTCGAAACGGGTGGTGGCGAGTCCCAACGCTGCCAAACCGGGCCTCACATGCCTTGCCTTCACACGTGCGTACGTCCAAACATCACAGGTTAGTAGGGTATCTATCATCGTGCGATTGCCATCTAGTGATGCAACACACAGATACCAATGGGCAACACCTCCTTGCAGAGTACATACACTCTGTTTGGCGAATGATTGGATTTAGGTGAAAGGCTTCTGTACAGACACTCTGTTTGGTCAACACCCCCTTTCTATTATTATTATTATTATTATTATTATTAATATTATTATTAAACTGGATACAAGATATGGACTCTGGCAAAGATCATCATGTACTCTCGTATTCATATAAAGCTCAGAACAATCCTTGTATTATCTGTGATCATACTCATCTGTAAGTTAAAATGATGATGAGTTAAGAAATAGTCCCATTTTAACAGAAATTGAAAGAATCAAACTTGAGTTTTATGCGAGAGAGCAAATTATGGGGACTCCCGTGAGGACATGACAGGCTCACCTTTCAAGGCACAATCATGTCACTAACTCCGAGGCCCTTCCACCCCCCAAGAGGAAGATGAAATGCTATGCTGTACTGCCGGAGCTTCACTTCACTGCACTTGTTGCTTCTCTTCCCCACTCCCCCATGTTTAGCAGCTACAGCGAAAGGAGACTCGGGCACACTCCTACTTCCAATCATATGTCCATTTCAGCGGTCTCACCGCCACATGGAAGGATAACGCGAACACATTTTGTGAGTACACAACCTCTCCTCCCCTCCCTACCTCCCTCACCTTCTCCCAAGGAATGGAAGAGGTTCCAAAGGCCACTGCTGGGGGGACACTTCTTGGGTAATGCTTCCAAGGAGCAGAGCCTTTTTGACAAGTTCAAATTGTTAGTGTCTGGAACAAGGTTGTTGACTCCAGTATCACCGAGAGAGAGAGTTGGTAGGTGTGTTTTCTCTCTCTGCTTCTTCCTGCTGGCCCCTACCCAGGTGAGGTGGGGCTCAGAACTTGACGGTATTCGGGGAGCGGGCCCCCTCTTTCAGGACCGGTGGCGTCGATGGACGTCCCCAAACATCGTGAGGGCCTGATGGGTTTGCAGATCCTTCATGTATCGGTCCAGCAACCAGACGCACGAGTCTCTGATGGAAACGAAGCGATCAGTGGGGTCCACGGCCTGCAACCAATGAGATGAGATTTCCCTGTGTTCGATGGCTCCATCGAGACGAGGGAGCAGTCTGGTGTGCGTCGGTGGAATCCCTGAATGGTCGTAATCACCAAAAAGACTGTTACACTCCCTCGCAGCGACGGACACACTGTACACTATTCCTCCAATATATGGTGAAATTATTTCTCATACATATATATATATATATATATATATATATATATATATATATTATTGTCCCTCTTTTCCGATAAAGAGAGACTCACTCTCTTCTTCCTCTTCCGGTTGGGTGTCACCTGTATATAAAAATAATTGATGTCCTTCACCAACCCATGCACTTAACATGTTAATTTTGAGGAATTATTCTTTGACTACTATCTTATCTTTTTCATTAAAAAAACCAATTAGAGGTTTATCTTCTTAAGTCATCTAAATCAGAATGCAAGTTCATGAAGTGGTCTCCTTTTCCTATAGGCCACATTGACGTAGACGCATTAAAGTGGAGTAAGTTTGAGCCACCGATCCTTTCTCACATCCATCCTCGTCGCTCGCTGGGTATGTGTTTTCGTTTTGGTGGAGTTTTTTGTTTACCTGAAGAAAGCCTCCTCCTTCCATCATCCTCAGCCATCCAATGTGCCGCGACAGCCGTCACTTTTTCTTGTCCCATCCAATACATTGTATATATATATATATATATCATGAATAAACTATAGGCATATCCGCATAGAGTATTCCTATGATTCAGAAATTAACACTAAAATTGATAATAAAAGAAAAGAGTCTCTGCTCCGCCTCCCAGGAATCTTCACTGTTTCGCAACCTCCCATTACCATACAAAATTGTAGTCGATAGTAATGAACTGTTTTGATGGTTTATGATGATACGATACATGATTTTAGTTGGAATCCTTTGTGCAAGGAAACGGGAGCCTTTGTCGCATGGCATGCATGCATCCATGCATGCATAGGGTTAAACCCCGGTCCCACCAATCAATCGCTCTTCCTACCCACGCCGTGTGGGCCCACAGGTCTCAGCTATGACACGGTAGCAGCGGCGCGGGGCCCAGCGTCAAATGAGATAGTGGACGAAATGAAACTAACCCCCAAATGAAACATACGGCGAAATGAAGCGCTTGCCCTATAAATACAAGAACCGCCCGCCCTCCCGCGATCGCTATGTGTCAGCGTGTGATCATGGCCACGCGACGCAGGCACTGGGCGGAGCGGCTCCTCGCTGCGCCCGCCCGTTTCGGCGACCAAGGCCACGTGGCCTGCGCCGACGACCTCCCTGACCTCGCCGAAGCCGAGGTCTGGTCCTCCTTCCTCGCGCCCGCCCACGAGGCGGAGGACGCCGACGGCCGCCACGACCCGGATCACGCCAGCACCCGTCCCTGGGGGCACCGACAGGTGGGCGGCCTCTCCCTGGCCTTCGAGGGCGCGTACCGGGGGGCGGCGCCCTCCCAACGGCCGCAGGTGAGGCACCCGGCGTTGGCAGCGTCGGCGCCCGTGGACGTGCCGGCCTGGCCTCGGTCGCTTCGTGCCGGCTCGGGCGGGCCGGCGCCGGAGCGGGAGGGGGAGGGGGCGGGGGAGGGGGAGGGGGAGGGGGAGGACGCTGACGAGTGGCTGCCGCCGCACGAGTACGTGGCGAGGGCGCACGGGAGGAGCATGGCGACGTCGGTGCTGGAGGGCGCGGGGAGGACGCTAAAGGGCCGAGACATGAGCCGAGTTCGCGACGCGGTCTGGAGCCAGACGGGCTTCTTCGGTTGAAGGTCGTACCCACGGCGGCGCCCGAATCTTACAGGACTGTTTCCGTCCCTCTCCATGTAAAAGTAAAAAAAAAAAAAAAAAGGAAAAGAAGATTCTTTGTGTGTGTGTGTGATTTGGCCGTGTAAAAATTGGGAAGCACTGCTTGTTTGGCAATGAGCTTGACGTTCAATAATCATGATAATAGTAACAGGAGAGCACATGTTTGATGATTCGAGGACAATAACAGAGACAAAGCGTGATCGGAAATGGGAGGAAGAGGCGTGGCAAAGTGGCACACTGCTACTGCCTCATTGGGTTACTACTGTGGGGGTGTGTGGACTTTGAGAAGGGGAGGTGGGAATAATTGAAGTGTTGGCAGCGAGGTATGGCGGACGTCGGGAGACAATAGTAATTGGTCGCATAGCTCATATTTCACGGGAAAAGGACCAGGTGGTGGTGGTGGTGGTGGTGGTGGTGGCGGTCCCATTCCCATTTCAAAGGCGGCGACGTCACGTCTTGGCATCGAGCAACATGTGTAGGAGTGATGTTCTTGGAACTTGCCTCCCTCCTGTTCTCCTGCAGCTCATTCATCCCCCCCTTTTGGAACTTGCCTTCTCTTTTTATCTATTCTCCTTTAATACTTCCCCTTTTATCTTTAATATTTCCACTTTTTATCTATTCCAAATTTTTGAAATAAATATTTTAAGTTTAAAAATATTATTAACGATATCAGGTATCAACCCGAGCGAGGATAAACCTCCACTCTTTCATAAACTAATCTTTTAGAGTGTTAGGAAAGAATTTTGGTATTGAAACAGAATAATGAAGAGATTTGAAGAGAATAATATTTAGGTCATCTATAATGAAATTCTTTTAAGAGAGAGAGAAAAAAAAAAGTTTCCATGGATGATATTATGTCGAGCAATTTCAAATCTTGAGTTACCTTTTAAAAAAAATCAGATGTTGAATGGACAAATATCTCTTAAATAGTAGGATAAGACTAAAATTAGATGGACTAAAGAAGAAGATAGAAACAATATATATTATCAAAGTTTAGTGATAGGAAAAGAGATTTGAAGAGGATATTGAAATCCCGGTGGATGATACTATTATGTCAAGTAATTTCAAACCTTGAGTTACCTTTTATAAAATATTTAGATTTTGAACACACAAATATATATATATATCTTAAATGGTAGGATAAGACTAAAACTAGATGGATTAAAGATGAAAATAGAAACAATATATATTAACAAAGACTAAAACACTAATGAGTTATATAACTATTGATAATAAGAATATCTCTGATAACCCTTCAATAATAAGAATGTCTCCGAATAAGAGCTAGGAGCAAAAGATGATCTTTTGATAGTGAATGCTTAAGACATATGACCGGAGTTTCGACACAATTTTCAAATCTCACTAGCCGAAACAACAATAATAAAGGAAATATCATTAGCATTGGAATTATTAGCAATAAATCAAATCTTTTGATCGAAGATATTTTGTTAGTAAATGGTTTAAAATATAACTTATTAAGTATTAGTCAATTATGTGATAAGTGATAACTAATGCTTACATCGTAGAGATATCACATAAAAACAAATCTAAGATCGCTTTAAGGAGCAATAATAGTTATATTATTAATCTTGATGATTGTCACGACGAAACTTATTTTTTGGTTTTAAACAATGATGTATGACTTTGGCATAGAAGGCTAGGACATGTTAGTATGAAATCAATCACACAAATTGAAACTAAAGAACTTGTAAGAGAAATATATTTTTCTTAAAAATTATTCTCTCTAAAGCTTATCGAGTTTTCAATAATAAGAGATCCTTAGTCATTGATGAATCTATTTATGTTATTTTTTTAATATATTTTTTAAACTAAAAAAATAATTTTGATAAAAATTTTGGATTTGATAAATTGAATTAAAATAAGAATTCTCCTCTCAAAGTAACTTCGATACATCTATTCCAAAGAAATCTTACCCAAAGAATGGAAGTATATAGATGTACGAAGCTTATTATTGGAGATATATTGAAAGGTATTCAAACTCATTCTTCATTTAAAAATTTTTATGTAAATACAATTTTTTTGTCTCAAATTATATCTAAATGTATTGATGATGCTCTCAAAGATGACTCATGAGTTTTTGAAAGAAATAAGGTTTGGACGCTTGTTTCTAGACATAGTGATCATCTTATGATTGATATTAAATGAGTTTTTAGAAATAAGCAAGATGAACAATGTATCGTGGTTCGAAACAATTCTAGATTAGTGGCCCAAGGTTTCAACCAAGAAGAAGATATAGACTATGAAGAAATTTTCACTCTTATGGTAAGACTTGAAGTCATAAGGATATTCATTGCCTACGCATGTTTTAAAAAATTTAAGTTATTTTAAATAGATGTCAAAAATATTTTTCTTAGTGGTTTTATTTTCAAAGAAGTTTATATTAAATAACTACTTTCAAAGTGTTCTTTTTCCAAACCATGTTTATAAGTTATCTAAAGTTCTATATGGGTTGAAGTAAGCCCCTGATGTTTGGCATGAGAGGTTTAGTTTTTTTCTTATTCAAAATAATTTTTTGAAAGGTAAGGTCGATACCATATTATTTATTAAATTATTTTAAAATAATTTTTTATCATTCAAATTTATGTTGATGATATTATTTTTTATTCTACGAATGAATCTTTAATTATTTGTCAAAAGCATGAGTCAAGAATTTGAAATAAGTTTAATAAGTGAATTGATAATTTTTTTAGTCAAATATACTTTGAATCTACTAAAATGGTTTCACTTGAATCGCACTAACGCCATTAAAACACCAATGAGCATTTCTACCAAACTAGATATAGACAACGAAGAAAAATATTTTGATTAAAAGACTTATTTCAATATATCTCATATCGAGAGATATAAAATCATATAATATTAATTATCCGATATATGATTATCTACTTATTAATCTTTCATCGAATCAATATGTATCACTCGTTAAAGTTATAGAATTCACAGCATAATATAGGTAAGCCTGTGACTTGTTTTGCACACGACAACCAAGTTTGGTCCAGCAGAGCATAGCAACCATGAATACACAGTTATTATACATGAGAAGAATTTTATTTTGGGTTAGAGTGATGATCAGTATCATTTGTATTTCCTCGTGACTTGATTTTGACTATATTATCGTACACGTGGAACACATTTTAGTTTACTTTACTTTACTTGCTTGCAGATCCAACAGTCTGACAATTTTGCATGTGTTTGTTATTCGGAAGAGGAAAAAAACACTGAGTGCAGAGAAGGCCATCTTTCATTTGATTTGTTGTCGACAACACACTTCCACCCACAGGTCAAATGAGCTACGTTTTACACCCATAATTTGCCATTGCATCCGCGACGATGTCTGCCATCCATCTCTGAGGAACTCAAAGCTGAAGATGGTGTTCTTTACATGCCCATCAAGCATCTCTCTCTCTCTCTCTCTCTGTATACCCCTTACTGCTTTGAGGATCTTCTCTCATAACAAAAAAAATGCACTGCACATACGCACTACATCAATAAACATATGAATTGATACGACACATTTTTGCTGCCATGGGAGATCGGAAGGGATTCTGCTTATTTCAGAAGACTGCATCCCACACCATCTTTTCGCCTTCTCCGCATCGCCGATGAACCTCATTGATCCTTTCAGCTGAATTGCAAATGCCACTGCAGGTCCAATCAAACGAGGCAACACAGATGTTGCCGGCCTGTGCTTTCCACTCGCAGTCTGCAAACAAAGTAGCGGCCATGACTGACTGTGGACTCTATTCAAACAAAAAACGCTGGAATCAGTAGCTTTACCAGGTGGGGTACCACAACATAGTCTGCGGTCATCGATGTGTTCGACGTCTAGTCCGATAAACCATGATCCCAGTGAAACATCCTCATTTGCATACTTGTGAAGCACATGCCTGATTTCAAGAGAAGCAAAGTATAATTCAGCTTTCAGAGTAAAAGTAGACAGCAAAAAAAAGCATCATCATCATCCTCATCATCCAGTAGAAGAAAGGGATGTAAAAGATGTAGCTTACTGATTCATGGATATGTAAGCAGCCAAGTCGTTGGAAATTGCATATAGCTGACCGGTAGCATGTCGGAAATACTTATTTCCATCTTCTCCAAACTTCCAATACTCGGGCTCGTGATATCTCACCCCCCTGTCCGGTAACAACAGTTTGAGATCAAGACTAGCGTTAAAACATACATATTATCCAGTAAAACAAATGCTTACTTTTGAGCTAGGACTGGACCAGATTTCATACATCCAATATACACCCGAGGCTTCGACCGGTGCTTAGCAAGAGTCGTTCCAAGAGTTGCTACGTGATGTTCAAAAGTAGATGATGATGATGATGATGATGATGATGATGATTCGATCCAAAACCTCATATTGCTGAACAAAAGACATAATATGTAGGCAATAAGAACAATCGCTTAACGTACCAATATTTACATGAACATCATCATCTACTTTGATGTAGAAATCTGCATCCCACATAGAGACAGCAGTTGCAAAATAACTTTTTGTTTTGGCTGATAACTCGAGATAGCCTTCGATGTGATCCTGAAAACATTTATTTGTAAACATCAGATCAAGATTACATACATACAACAAAGAAAACACATATTGTGCTAAGAAAATTAGAAAGAGTAAACCGAACCAACCAGCCTCATCAAGTCCCCGTGCTTTCTATGTTCGGCTTCGATTGCCTTGTCCAAAATTCCACCAGATGTAGCGCTGTGAGAGTATCTCAAGGCAGTTTAGTTTCAGTGTCAACTTTTCTTTTTGATGCTATACTATACTATACTATATACTATAGTATAGAACACCTTATCAGAGAATGTCTTCGAAAACCAAATAGAGTTGTAATACTATCTCTTAAATCCCTTATTTGTAACATTGTCATTTCTCTTCACTTTGATCGCCCGGTAGTAACATTTGCGACCTAATAATGTTTAAAGATGTAGAGGTAAAATTTGTTGTCTGCCATATATCAAGAAGATCTCTAATTCTCCTGAAAGATTCTACAGCTTTGCCTAGGAGGAAATTAAGTTTATATGCAATAGTCATGTGCAAAATCTAGAAAATGCACACAATCTTTATCTCACTTCATTGCTTGATAAACTTGCATA